GAAAAATTTTCTAAAACTTTTTAATTTTTTAAAAATAAATTCTAATAAAATTATAAAAAATTATATAATATATTTATAATTAAAATATTAACTTCAGACTATATTTTAATACCTTGGTGATTTTTTTAATAATAAAATCAATTTATATCAACTAAAAATTCTATTTTCTACATAAATAAGTAAAATAAATATGAATTGTTTTTTATTCCTTGTAATTATTAATTGATATTAATAGGAATTTTTTATAAATAATATGTGTAGATAAAAATTCAATTTGGAAATTAATATCAACAACTAAATATTAATATTTAATAGTAAAAAAATTAATAAACCAATCAAAATAAATGCCTCTAAGACTTACTAAAATTCTATTCTTATATTTTTTTCGCTAATAAGAATTTTGTAACTTATACATAATTCAAAACTCTAAAAAATATTTAAATAATCAAAAAGACTCTAATCTTCATTATTCTATGCCTAAATGACTTAAAATTATATTTTTGACCACTCTACCTATTAAAATCCATTTATAAAATTTACATGAATTTAGATCATATAAAAGTAGTGATTTTTTTTTCCATAAAATGTGAAAAAATTTTAAAATATCTTTTCTAGATAGGAGTATATATATAAATCTAACTTAAGTAAATCCATCAAGATAATGGAAAGAATATAATTTTAAATAGAATTTGAGCTCTTGTAGGAATCTTTAAAATTTTGATCTTATTTCATTAATCTTCTTTAGTATACTAATCCTTACTTCTTTGATATTTGTAATAGTAAAAAAAAATGATTCAATTATGTGATTGATCTACTTATTTTCTTTAATTACACAACTTCTTGGCAAAGATATTAGATCTTATTACTAATATCTTTCATAGGTATAGAAATAGTATTTCAATAGTTAATGTTGGTAATTTGTGAAATTTCTACTCTAAGAGTATTGACAAGCTTGTGAAGATTTGAAATAGTTGCAAATTTAATCTCTCTTTTAATAAGTATAACATCTATATTTTTTCCTTTTATTTTTATAATAGAAAACTTTAACATATTTAGAAGTTAAATTAAAAAATAAACAAAAAATAAAAATAAAAAATCTAAAACCTCTACTATAAAATTTAAAAAATCCATAAAAAGATATAATTCAGTGTGTTTGAAGAAAGAATTAATGTTAAAATTTAAAAATTAATAATGAATAGCCTTTAAAGCATAATAAAAGAAGTAAAAAAATCCACTTAGTTCTAAAAAAATAAAGAATAATAAATTAGGATTCTTATCAAATTATCAAGGACATAAATCACAAAAAATCAAATGATCAATATACTCATATGTCACTAAAAAAGAGTAGATATTCACTTAAAGTTTGTATAATTTTAAAACTATAAGGACTATTGCTAAAGATAAAAAGATTGAAGATTCTTAAAATAAGACTAAAAACAAAAAATGTGTTGACAAGAATGAAAAAGGTTTTATTATTGCATCTATATGTACTATCAAATTATGAATTATATGGCAATATTCTATAGGACCTCCAACACATATCCAACTTACATAAAAAGTGTCTAATTTGCAAGACAAGTTTCTTATACATATGCCACATGTCCAACTTGTATTACAAGTGGCCAACTTATCAATTATCTACAAACATATATAAAATCAAATCTTCATCTATAAAGCCTCTAAAAAGATTTTTTTACAAGAAATTATTAAAATTATATATTTTTAATTAATTCTATCTAATTCTTCTTATTTAAATAATTAATAGTATTGGTTATATTTGTGACATATATAACCTTTTAAAATCTATATCAATTTAGTTTTTAAACTACATATATATATATATATATATATATATATATACCATTTATTATTTTAATAAATTTTATTTTTAAATAATATAATTTTTTTAAATCATTTTTTTGTTATTAATTTTTTAATTATATGCTTCTTAAAAACAATTTAGTTGAAGCTACTATATGCATCTCTTTGCTCTATAATTTTGCATGCATATCTTTAACTTAAGAATATCTTTGAAATAAAATTATTTCAAAAAAAATTAGAATCATAAGTAGCAATTGTGTTTAGCACAAGTTTCACTATGCCTTTTAAACAACACCAAAAAATATCTTTTTTATCAACTTTGAATGTTATAATCTTCCACCTGCAATGACCTCAACATATAAGATTTGTTTGATTGATTCTAATATAAGTTAAAAACAAGATCTTATGGTTGAAAGTATTAAAATATTAAAAAAATAAAAATAAAGGTTATTTTCTTAACACGGGTGTTTTTTTGCACTTTTGAAGTTTGGAGGATAAGATAACATAAGGAACTTTAGGGATTAAAAGGTGCTATTCAAAATGAATAATAATAATAATAATAATATAGTAATAACATTAAAATTAAGAGGTACTAAAGAAAAAAGTAATAAAATAAATAATAATAATAATAATAATAATCATCAAAATAAGGATTCTAAGACAAAGAAAAAATAATAAATATGACTATATATATATATATATATATATAGCATCAATAAATAAATGCAACATTACACATATATCTTACAAATAAGAAGAAGTTTGGAAAAATAAGTGAATGCATCATTATCCATATATTCTACAAATAATGAAAAGTTGGCATAGACATTCAAGCATATCACAACACAAATACTATATATATAAAAAGTAAAAAGTAAAAACAAACCATTGAAGACAAAAAAAAAAAAAAAAAAAAAAAAAAAAAATACTACAAAGAAGAAACTTCAAAGACAAGATAATAAAGATAAAATAAAAAATAAAAAATAAAAAAATAGCACAACCAGAACCACAACATCAAATCTCACAACTTAATTAAAACAAAAACTACAAGATTGCAAATACACACAAGTAATTTAATCAATATATTAATCAAAAAGAACAGCCACACAAAGGAGTAGTGGAGTTAGAGATGAAGACTAAAATAAGGCTTTGAAGAAGTATGATATCTTTCTTTGTTAATTGGATTTATATTATATTGTTGCTATCGTCAGTTCTTGCAGAAATATACATCTCGTTGTGGTCTCCCGATAATGGAATTCTTACGTTCCGGAAAATCCTCTGTCACAGAACGTCACAAAGTAAAATAACAATCCCTGCAAATCCATAGCCTTCACTTCACAAGCGCCTGTCCCAGTAAACCCAACTCCATCCAATCTAAGGTTGAATACTCTGGTAAGCGTCTGTTAGCAAAACATCTATCTTTATAAGTTGCATGAGTGACCTCTAAATGTACCCCATATCAAACAAGTTGTGAGCAGTCTCTTTTGGCCCGGAGACTCTCACCAGCCATGCTTAGAACCGCTCTTCTGCAAACAGTTGTCTTACAAACCGAAACATAACAAATCTCATGGCTGCACCAAAGCATGGTGTGACTTGGAAGTCTTGCCCAACTAAGAATTTGCACGTGGTTCCTCGTTGTACTCTTTACTAGGGGGGTCCACTTGACCCTGACAGATGGGTGCTATGTGACCTAAAAGTTGCTGCAAAACTCAGTCTGACGGTATGGAAAAACTCCTCTCCCAGTAAATCAATTTGGCATCGATGGGAGAAGTTCACTGTATCGCCCTGAGTTCACGGCAGGAACTGTCATATAAAATTCGATTTCCAAACCTTCACAACAGTGACAGAAGCTGGGTGTTGTGTGATAATAGAATGATGTTTGCTGGGTGTGGCGAGGTTTAGGCAACCAGTGGCAACCATTAACGAACAAGCTCTTTACTTTCAAATACTACAGACTAAAAGCAAAGTTTCGTCACTGTCAGAATGCCATGATCTTGTGTGATGATGACTTCGTGTGTTCTAACATTCTCGGGTTGTGGTGGTAGACACGACGAACCCATAATCGAATTGAGGACAAGGCTGAAGTATATGATGCCTAAACATTGCTAACAGGTTTATACTGGTTAAGTAGTAATGTGAGGACATCTCTAAATAAATGACGATGCTGTAATACTTCAGTGCGACGAAAGTGAGGGAAAAGCTCCACCTTTCTGTGCATGGGAACCAAGTTCAGGTGATGTCTTTTCCTATCATTCTAAGAACTTCATCACAATTTCATCCAGTTGAAACTAGCATCTCAATGCAATAAAAAAATTATGCAACACAAGCAATATAAAAAACTGCCGATCTCTGAGTGCACTAGAACCATTACCGCTTATCAAATATAGCTCGCAACAAACTATTAAATTACCATTTGACTGTTCAGACTTTTCACGCCTTATGCGACAATTAGCGAGAAGCAACTTCCTTAGTGCGACGAGAGTGCCTCCTTTTGGTCCTTGGTAGCATCTGCGCCTCGAATTAGTGAGCTATCAATATCCCTATGCCCGAGGCATCAATTCAACCTTAGGATGAACTACTTTACACGATTGAGGTCACGTTGTGCGGCTGTTTTGGCTATTAGAAGACAAAAACTCAAATTTCGATTCCAGAGAATTGTCAATTTCACATGTAAAACAGTTGATGTTCATGACGCCGAGTCTCGCCGAGTGCACAATTCAATTTCTCGGTACATCTATTTCTGGCAAACCTCACTCTGAACTGCACGAATCAAAGTTATAATTAAGAGAATACCTTCATCATATTGATCAGCAACTTTTGTTTTAATGACCACTTTTAACAGTTTTACATAACCTTTCCATCCCTCTAAGTTTGGCTGTTTCTTGTGTTTTAGATACATAAAAGGTTGTTGTCGATGGTAAGGAGCCTTGATTGCTTCTTTAACTGGAATATCTAAACATAGTAAAACAATTGTTGGCACTAATGTTATGTTGTCTTTGCGCATGGAGGGCCTAGAGTGTTTTCTCATGAAAAATGATTGATGAGATATCTAATTTTGTTAATTTCTTGTTGGAAGCCACTTCTAATCAAGGTAAAGAAGTGGGTAAAAGAGAGAAGGATATTATTTACTACAATAACCTATTGCATTCTACAACGACAAGAAACAGGAGGCGAGGGAACAGGGAGTCACAACTAGAAATAGGACGGTGGGTAAGAGATTTCGGTTCGAACGATCCATCAATGAAGTCAGTGCTCGTGTTAGGATCTGAGGCCCAACTGAATTGCGTGTGATCGCCTCGAGGCTATTTTGATGGATTTCGTGAGGAAAAAACCCTCGGTGTTTCCCACATCGGTGTTGCTTGCGCTTTGTCTTGGCTTCATTGGAGGATTGCTCTTTGGCTATTGCTTGTATCTTACCGCTACTCTAAACGTTCCATCTCCTGAGTTAACTGACACAAGACTAAGTACAAGTAAAGTTGTATACGGGTCGATAAAGTGTCCCGATGTGCCGCCTTCAGTTCCTTGTGAGCCTTGTGTAGGTACTGTTGCAAACCAGACGATAGGGTGTCCCGAAGTGCCGACTTGTGAGACTTGTGAAGCTAGCGGAAATGGAAGCGGGTCGCAACAAGATATGGCTGAAGATGAGGTTTTTGTCAAGAATCTGCCTCAAAACTTTATTCATAAAACAACAGATTATCATCGTAAAAACATGACCAAGATGCCCTACCAGGTTAGTGTTCAGAAATCCAGCACCGACCTTAGGATCTTACGGACACACAGTTTTAGGCTACACAGACCAGCTTCAGTTATAGGTTTCAGTTTAAAGACGACTGGAGCGTATTGTGCATAATTTAGTTTCAGTCTTCCTCAAATTTTCTGCCTTGTGCAATGGCACAGGACAGGCCTGGGCCCACGCCGAAGAGTCTGCTTGCAATGGCCGTCGGATTTAAACAAAGAGACCACGTTGATGCTTATCTTCAGAAGGTACATCACAAACTCATTCATGAATGTGCGCATGCTGATAGGCTAATGATAAGAAAGGTGAGAGGAATAAATGATGAGTCCTTTCTCGTTGCGTGTGTTGCAGTTTGACGAGGAGCATTTCCAGGTGGTGCTATTTCACTACGACAACACGGTAGACAAATGGAGAGACTTCGACTGGTTCCAACGCGTTGTCCACATCCAGAGCGAAGGTCAATCCAAGTGGTGGTTCACAAAACGGTTCTTGCATCCCGATGTGGTGGCTCCCTACGAATACATTTTCGTCTGGGACGAAGACCTCAACCTCACCAATTGCGACCCTCTCAAGTCAGTTCCTGCTTCTACACTACTTCTCTTATGGTCCAGCAGTTACTGCAAGTTCAACTTACCGGCATTGCTGGCTCAGTATCTGATACGCCACTATCTGTGACCAGATTTATAGACATTATGAAGAGGAATCAGCTTCAGATTGCGCAACCAGCGATTGAGGGAGCTACCCACTGGCCGATCACGAAACGTGTTACGGAAAACGGAATTGAGATGCACACTCGCACCTCCGAGGGAGGCCTAAAAGACAAGCCCTGCGTTAACGAAACCACAACTGGTGGCCCATGTGAAGCGTGAGTGTCATCACCAGAATTTTGTCGTAATCGTCGAGCGATCGCAAATTTGAACTGGGAGTCTGAAAACGAATGCTTGTATGGTATGAACAGGTTTGTGGAGATTCAGGCTCCTGTGTTCGAGCACAAGTCTTGGCGGTGCGTCTGGAACCTCCTTCAGGTGCTTAACATCTTTCCTCAAATCTTGTGCTCCGAACGGTAACAGCTAGAAGAGAGTAGGATCGGTGAATCGTCATGGAGTGTTGCGTGACCATCAAATCTTAAACCCCGAACCTGATAGCTGTAATATCGTTCAAGTTTCGCACGAAGTTGATCCATTGTACGCAAGGCATTACATCGCTTTCGACGGAGCAAGCAGCTAACCAATCTAACAGGTTCTAGGGATTCATGTGTTGAACCGCAATGCAGAACGATTTGATAATGGCATGGGGAATCGATTTCATCCTCCGCGAATGTGTCTCTGCACCGGCAGAGAAGCACATGGGCATCATAGATTCACAGTGGATCCTACACGACAGCGCTCAATCTCTCTACTCCAAGGTCTGTAACACCAGTCCATCGTCACGAAACCAGCACGCTTTAGCAAAACTATGTTTCAATCCCATGGTCTTGACTCCTGGCTTGCTACCATCCTCACCACCTGGTGTTTCTGCGAATTTGTGCAGGAGAATCAGACCACGACGCAGTTCAGCTCACACCGAGATATGGTAACTAGCATGACTTGATCACCTCTCCTTGTCTCACACACCCCTCATGACATCTTCCTTTGTTCCAAGTAGGCCTCGTTTACCACCCGAAACCAGTTCGACTCTACCACAAACCATTCCCCTTACCAAATTCACCGTACTGCATGTACCTAATAACCACACCGTGTGTCTAAGCAGCTTTTGAAGAGGAGCTTCTGGGAGTATTCAGAAACTAGAAGAAGGTGGGGGACAACAAACGCCACCAGAAACGCAGTCTGATCCCAAATCATCAAACATCTACTGGAACGTTTTCGAAAGTTCAACACAATGTGGTTCCCCCTCCGAGGCGTCTCACTTTGGGAGATATGTTTGGAACGAAATGATCGTGCTTTTACCAATACCGACTGGCCCATGGAAAAGACCCACAAGTCGGATCTGGCAAGGATTCACAGATTACGCTAGAATTGCAAGGAATAAGGTCGTGGAAAATACTCAGGTTTACCTATCTCGCTGTTACCCTAAACCCTAAAACCGGAGGGATAGTATAAAGCTTTCGACACCAGCTGGGGGAACAATATCGTAATATGCTCTATACTCAAGCCATTGCACCCTAAGAGGTTCCGTATCCAAGGTAGAGTAGCTCCCCAATAAGCCGGGGTTGTAACATTACATATTGTAGGGTCCTGTATTGAGTCGTGCTTTGGTTGGGATTTCTGAGTCCTACTTAGACCAAAACACTTTGTACTGGTCCCCTGCAATGAATTTTCTTTATATGTATCTTTGCAAACTCCAAGAAGTATCTTAGAAATGGACATAGAAGTTTTTAAATTTTTTAGAAGAAAAAAAATAAGGTTTAAGAAAATTGATGAAGAAATGTAACAAATTAGATCTATAAGTTATCTTAAAGTGGTACTTATATCTTAGTATTACTATTGTAGGAATATCATTAAGCTTTGTCAAGTTATCATTAATTAGATAATAATAGATTTAGGCATATTTATAAGTCCAAAAGACATAATTTTTTATTAAATTATATATGTATACAATTCATACAAGAACTAAAAAACAAGTTAAATAACTAAGAAGCAAAACAACAATAAATAAATAAAAACGTTATTCTTTTTAATATCAAGACAATGGTATTTGGTTGCATATTTATTAATATTATTTGATACTACTAAATTTCTCACAAAATATTATTTCCAATTAAAATCACACATTAAATCTTAAATTTCTTCTTCTGCTAAAGGCAATATGAAATTTTCTTTATATGTATCTTTATATTTCCAATTAGAATTACGCATTAAATCTTAAATTTCTTTATATGTAACTTCTGCATAAGGCAATTATTATATTAATAAGATCTTACACTTTAAGTAATTAAATATAAGATTAAAATGATTCACTTTAAATTTGTGCACCTGCGTTTAATTTAATTATACCAAGTAAAAATAATATTAAATAATTGATAAACTTGTATACAAATTGTAGTGAGTCAAACCATATTGTACAAATTTGAATTGAATCATTTTAATCTAATATTTAATTACTAAAAGTGTAAGATCTTATTAATATAATAATTTGACTTGACAAAATGTACTTTGTATAATATAATAAAATGTAATAATATTTTAAAATAAAAATAAAAATATTCAATAATACATTAATGAATAAAATAACTAAAAATAATAAAAATATTTAAATTTATATTTCAATATCAATACATATTAATAAAAAGACACATTCTTTGTTAGTGCTTCTGTAATTTAATTCAACCACTCTTTGTCAATTAATTTTTAAAGATTATATCATAATTCATTTAAATTTGCTAAAAGTTGTAAAGCCCTTGTATAACAATGATACAAACTAAACTAAATAATGCTAGTAAAAATTACTAATTATATGTATTACACTTTGAATCTATTGGAATGGATTGAAGGATGCAAGTATAGAAAAAATTACAATTGTTAAAAAAAATCTTTATTTTTATTTTAATTCCAATAAATGTATAAAGCATGTTAATCTTAGTATATTTCTTATATCCAATAAATGTATAAAGCATGTTAATCTTAGTATATTTCTTGGATATTATCGTAGTCAAACAACACCAAATTGGATATTATGTAATTCTTTAATCAATGCTTGTAAACTAATTAAAGTAACAACAATTCTCAAGTGTATCATTTTTTGTAGTAAAGAAAAAAAAAATTATATTCTATATATTACATTCTATTAGAAGTATTAATTCAAATTAGTACAATTGATTTCAGACACTGATTATGGCCATGCAACAGCTCGAATATGAATATATATATATATATATATATACATACCTTCCCTGATTGCATTAGAGCAAGGTAATCAATACCTCATATCTGATTAGTTTAAACAGGACCCAGTTTTATAGCATGTCGACCCGAGTAGAACACCTGCTAGTATTGAAAATTCATCCTAATTCTTAAATATGTCGCGGGCCATATTCATAAGAATTATTATGATTGTGAATTATTATGATTGTGAATTATTATGATTATTCTCACACAAATCATAGAATATTTCTTCTACGCTGTTCAATCCCATTTTGCAAGCAAGCGTTGAACATCCTAGTGCACAGCTCTGCTTCAACACTAGACTACAAGTACTGTGTGCTTTACAATTTCTCGTCACTTTATACCAGGTTGCTCGAGAAGGATATTGAGAAGTCGACATTCTAGAATACTCTCATTGTGTGCTACTATCAATGATTTGCCATAAATCACTGTACGAGACTAGGTAATTGTAAAATAAACAAATTGAGTATCCATGCACTCACTGCTTAGTGACTTTAGAATTTAATCTATTTCTGCACCTTGTATTGTACTGTTGCTAAGATTGCACCTTCCTGTGGTGGATATTAAGTAGCTGGATATTGAGATCGGTTCAGGATTGACGGTTCCAGACTTCAACCATTTCAAGGGGCGGTAACCAGGGATTAGGTTACACTCAACGTGTGAAACATCCAATGATTTGAATCGTAGTAAATATCCTCTCTCAGGACAGCTACGATAGTTTTACGATGTACTTTGGTTTTGTGCACAGTATCTGCTTCATCACTTAGCGGAAACATTGTATTATAGCGTCTTGAGAGTGGCCACAGTCCTTGTTTGTATTGATTGCTGCACCGATTCAAGCCAAAGCTGCTGTCGAGAATAGCCACATAGAGCTACACTCTATCAACACCGACGGACGCGTGTACAGGTACAACGGAAGTGTGAGCGAGTTTTCCCGAATATGGATCCGGTGCTTGTTGCTGGTTACGTGATTCGGGCATAGTGGAAGCAATAGGACTCCCTCGAGGGACAACCCAGGCGACGAATCGAGGAATGTCGTCTCCGGGCATTATCACCGAGATAGATGCAGCCTGCAGAAAAATTCAAATTTCCTTGAAATATTGTCCTCTAAATTTTCCTGAAAACAGCGAAAGTTTTAGAAAAGAGTGTGATTCTTACTCTTGGAGGATCACGAGTGTTGATAGCATCCACAGAATGATGAAAAGAAATCGGTGGTGATGATGATCGCGTGTCGTCAAGGAGCTCAGAATGTCCGGTACTATGGGCCTGGGATTGAAGTCGCATTTGTCCCTCCCACTGATAGCAGCAGCAAAGAATGGCACAAACTGCCATTACCATAAGAACAACTATGCCAGTCACCAGGGTGACATTCGTTCTTGAATGCTTAGGAGGCGCTGGACTTATAAGAGGAGGCCGGGCATGGGTTCCCTGAAGAACTCTTCCCTCTTGATAAACAGATTCCCACTGAAACGACATCATTTGAGCTTCCATTGCACTCAATGCCTCTAAACCGACAAGAAGGAAGATTGACAAGTATCTAATTACAAAATTTCTACCCATCTCCCACATTCATCTCCGAGGAGAAGGTGGGAAGAGCCAGCCATGTCACCGTGCGGAAAGCTATACCTGGGAAATACTTCGTGATGTCACAAAGTAGAACTCTGAATACTACAGACGGTAAAGGACATGAGCTACAGCACTTGATCCCAAATGACCGCCAGAGAAAAATGACTCTACCTACAGTCACTGCGGTCCATTTGTCAATCTAGATCCTACTTGGAATGCTGACAAACTTCAGATTGATAGAAGAAAGAGAAACTTGAGAAAATCTTCTTCCTTGGGACGAAATTGTAGCCGCTGATGTAAGTTCTTCCTGCAGATGTCTATCAGCAAACTACCCAAACCGCTGCAAAAACTTTTAAAATGTTTGCAATTTTCAACACAAGGTCTTCTTGATCATCTAACGACGTCTTCGAAGAGCTCAGATGAGCTCAACAATCGTACTACGGATCTACAAAAATATTTTATCCACGGCAGATGGGGACAATTTGGACGTCACCTGACAGTTACAGTTCATGGCCAGCAGCACGAATGAATTCTGCCTACAATGTCCGACACATTCCTTAAGAACAGAAACAGAAGAACTGCACCCTGAGAAACCATTTCATGCTTCCACAATCTAAACCCAACATTATAAGCTTCACCTGCTCACCGCGCTCCTCACAAATCAAGCGTGGCTCATAACGCCGTACATGAACATGGAAACACGTAATTTCGGAGCCTCCCGCTGTTAATTTCGAACAGAAATAGTGGGACCCAACCTGCCCATCTTCATACACAATCTGCAAAATTTGATACTCCAGCTAGATTAGCTACCGGTCACTTTAACCATAAAATTTCAGCCCGACTTGGATTATTACAAAAGATTATTTGGAGCTTGAAATCAAAGATGCAGATATGATACACCTGTATATTCAGGCAGTTAAATGCCATGCACCTGCCAAAACACAAATTGTGTGAGGACGAAGACTCGATTAAGATCGACCATGAGAAGAGTGCTATCGGCGTAGTCAAATAGACCCACACCTGCGGTTGAGGTGCCTTACCTTCGGCGGCATAAACGCTGTTGTGAAATTGGGGCTGGCTGCCAAAGCTGGTGACCAAGAAAGACTACATCTGTGCGGTCATCTGTGTTTTTGAATGTGAATTTCGGCTTTAGTCGACGGCGACTCCTTTGCAACTGGTAAGTTATCGATGTGGCTTACCGATCGGCAATGCACCCCCACTTCTACTTCTGTGACACTTTACCTGCAGCCTCAGCCTCCAAATGGCTGCAACTGTGGATCACTTCATGTGCAACCGAAAATAATTTTAAATATTGTATTTAGGTGGTCTGTAAGAACGTAGACTAGCCCCAAGAGCTCCACACTTAAACTGTGACGAAATTCGTTCAAAATATTGGTGCAGATGGAAAATAGTGAGGGGACACTAAAATGAAGATAGTTTAGTCCTTGCCATGATCTTCCGATGTCGCTATTTGATTTCTCAGGCGCCGTGTTATTCAGCTTCATAAAGAGTTTCAATTTAAGGTGGATACTAGTAGGAGTTACACGCCAAAGCCCCAACCAGTAAACAATACCTTTCAACACGATCCTTGGCGTCCGATGGCTCCACTTGAGCGTCCTCTAGGCCATGTAAGTTCTCAGAGACCAGATGTCTCAACGTATCCGTTCAGTTACAGCTACACATGTCAATTGTTACTCTGAATAGATGATAATGCAGTATATTAGGCGAAGAATAACCTACTTGTCGCAAACCATGAAGTCTGAATTAACAGTAAATACTCTTTTCTAACTTCGTTAATGAACGCATCGAAGAAAGAAAGATATATTTTGTTAAGTTTCAATACATCAACACAGATGGCAACCAACACAGATGGTAACCACAGTAGCACTGACCGAGACACCTAATTGACATTTTTGACGATGGCGTGAACGAGTAACATTCCTTGGGCCGGTCGTTTGGAGTGTGCCACAAGCGAATTGACCTGAGAGTCGGTTTCGAAGTACAGGAACTTAGTGGAGTGTTCTCGAAACAAGTCAAGAATTATAGATGGACGATACATGTACTGCTCATGAGTCCCAAGGCTTCTCAAACGTTTCATACATACCAGATGTATTGGAAGCGATTAAATTAGCAGAGAAGTGAGTGTAGAAAAGACAGAAGAATGCCTTACGTAAGCACATCTACGAAGCTGCTACTGAACTTGGACAATTCCAACAAGCTGCAAATTCTTCAGACCTTCCTGAAGGGACTCACAAGGTGCTCGAGAAGTACGCATGAGAGGAGCGCCCCCGCCGCTCAGCCGACAAATATCCAAAACAATATGTACATTTCTTTGTTCAAAAGCCTGACAGGACCATTAGGACGATAAATTCACGTTCCAACATGAATATGATGCAAGAATCGAGCACATTCTATGGCACCAAAACATACTAGTGGCAGGTAAAATTCATAGAAGCACACTTCAAGCAAGAGAATGACACCGAACAGGACAATCTAGGTGAAGAAACCAACTCTTGAGCCAAACGTTGCGGTGGTGGCCGTTTGAATCAAAACATTGTAAAGGAAGCTTTTAGTGCGTAGTTTCGGAGGCACACATCGTTGCAGGAGCGGCAACAGCTACGCCGGGAGCATGCAATGCAATGAAATCTGAACTTTGGCAGCTGCCTGTCTCCTTTGACCTTCAGCTTGTCTTTCAGCTGCTTTGTGATCGAGAGAGACGATGATCTCTCCGCTATTCCCATTGAACCCTAAACCCTGGCCGCTCTTGTGGCCATCCACTGAAGATTATTTCAGATGTGTACATTGTTTGTGATATTCCACTAAAACTTAAGAGCATTCGTTTGAAGTGCGCCATAAGTGAATTGTGCATCTAGTGTAACAGTTTCTTTGTTGTGTACTTCTGGTGTACCTTTTTGCTTTTTTCCTTTTTCATTGCTGAAATTACTGTAGGGTGAGGCAGGATTTAGTAACTAAAAGCATATCTTTAAATATATCATGTTTGTTCATTTTTATTTTTTTTGAAGAATGTTGTATGTTTAATTATTGTTAGTAGTGTAAAAAAGAAAATTAGTGTGGAATTATGTGCTTTTATGATTGAAATTGTAGGATGTTAATTTCTACACAATGATTTTGCTTAGATAAGTGTGTGTAATTGTCATTGGCATCTTGTGAATATTATGCTTGCCTAAAGATAAATAACAAATACAACTTAGAAGTACATGTAATGTATTTTTTAAATATTATAATTTTTTATTATTTTTTTGAAGAAATATAAAATTGTTAAGAATGTATATCTTCTTAGAGATTATTTTGTTGGATGTCACTTTCATTATGATTGTCTTATTTTGAATGTGATTTTTTTTAGTTCTTGTATTAGTTTAGATGATAAAGAATAGTAATTAGGTGTCTATTACCTATGATTGCAACTTTTGTTTTGTATTTATCATTATTTTTATTTATTCATTCTTATAATAATATAAAATAATGGTCTATTATTAAAACAATATCTCATTTTTTTTCATGTCTTTTAATATAAATTTTAATATAATAATTTTTAAAAAATAAGATATATATTAGTTAATTTTTTCTATGAAATTTTTTGAAGATTTTATTACTTAACTCTTGGTATAAAAATTGATTTTTGTCTTTTGATGATGTTTCTAGTAGTTGTAAATTATGTAGTTTTTATTAAGTTTAAATAAAGTGGAAGTACTATTGTTGTATTTTATCATTTTTAAAGTTGTGGCTTAGTGTCACAAACATATATATATATATATTTATCTAAATTAAAAGAATTAAATATGAGTAAGTAGAAGTAAATAATTTGATAATATCTTGTAGAAAAGCTTGTTAGAAGTTTCATAGATGCGGATTTGACTTTATATGTATTTGTAGATGGTTGGTAAGTTGAAAACTTAGTCAATAAGTTGACTATGTGTCACACATATTAGTGACTTGTGATACAAGTTGGTCATTTAGCACATATGTAAAAAACTTGTCTTAGAAGTTAGGTATGTATTGGAAGTCCTATAAAACGTTGCCATGTAGCTCCTAGTTTAATAGTATATATAGAAGCAAGAGTGAGTCATTCCTAACTCTAGTCAATATCTTTCTTGTTTTTAATCTTGTTTTAAGAATCTCTAATCTTCTTGTTTTTGGCAATAGTCATTCTAGTATTAATATCATGCTATTTTAAGTGATTATCTACTCTTTTTTAATGCCATAAGAGTGTATTAATTTTTTAATTGCTTTTAATTCATGTCCTTGACAATTTGATAAGAGTGCTAATTTACTATTCTTGTTTTGTTTTAGAAGTGAGTGGATTATACTACTTTTTTTTGTTGTGATTTAAAGGTTGTCAATTCCTATGTTTAAACTGATGTTTTTTTCTTCTTACATTGATTCTTTCCTCAAAAAAAATAAACTATCTTTCTTTGTAAAAAAATTGAGTTCATATAAGAGGTTGCCAATTACCTTTCTCTAATTTGAATAGTAGATTTGTTAAAGTCATCTATTAAAGAGATAGAAGAAAAAATTATAGATGCTATACTTAATAGAAGTAAGAATAGATTTGTAACTATTGCATATCTTCACAAGTTTAGCAACATTCTTAAGATAGAAATTTTATGTAAAATCAATATCAACCATCAAGATACTATTCCTACACCTATAAAAGAAGATAGCAATGAGATTGAATATTTGCACCAAGAAGTTGTACAATTGAGAGAAGCAAGTTAATCAATCTCACAATTAAATCCGAGAAGTCTTACAACTACAAGTATTAAGGAAACAAGGATTAGTATGCAAGAGAAGTTTAACAGAATAAGATCAAAATTTCAAGGATTTTTATAATAAGTCAAGTTTTATTTAAGATTATATTTTTTTAATATTTTAATAAAATATTCAAGTTGGATTCATATGTGTATTATTATTTAGAAGTAATTCCTTTTTATTTGTAATTATGAATGAATTTTTTTTGTAGATTTTATTTTATTTAAATTTATTCTTAAAAATATTTATGGCTGCATTTGGAAAAAAACAATCAAGAAAATATAGTAGAAATAACCTCCTATTTTTATGACAAGATTACAATCAACTATTACATATTGTCGAATTCCAAAACATTGTTTGTAATGTACATTGAAATGATAAAACTCTTATTAATCAATTTTAATATAAATTAAAAGATAATACCAAAGATTTATTATTGACAATGCCAAAAGCAAATTGATTAGAAGAATTTATTACTTAAGTCATTGCATGCAACAATCACCTTTTTAAAAGATGTCAAAAACAAAGATTTGGTTAGAGAAGAACAAGATAAGTCATGACAATAATTCTTAAGTCTATAATAGATGTTTGTTTTAATTCCTAAGTTATAATAGATGTTTGTTTTAATTCCTAAGTCTATAATAGATGTATTTTTAAGATAAAAAAATTACGAAGTCTTTATCTATATAAAGAATTTAATATATAATAGTGTGATATCTTTTGAGATTATTTTATTATCAATTCTTATTGCAAGAGGTTATATGCAAAGTATACAATTGAATACATTGACATTCACACCTTTAAACTCATAGGTTATTCCTTCTATATTTTCACATATGAGCTATTGATGTATTTATATCAAATTTTTATAAATATTATTCATTGTCTTCCAAAAGTTGTAGCTTGAATGTATGTTTCTTTGGAATTAAAGTCAACATTGAAGTTGAGGCCCATCATTTAGCTATTAAATTCTATATATATCTTAATCATCTTTGTTCTTCAATTTCTTATTTATGTTCCTTCACATCTTTGTCAAAGTTGATGATATTTACTTTGAAGTAGAACATAGCTTTCCTCGATGAACCTTGCCTTATCACCATTGGTCTTGTCTCTTAAGCTTTTTTTTTTTTTCTTATGTTAAAAATTCCAAAGGTCTTTGTGAATTCTTCCTTGCAATTCTCATGACTTTTCAATATATCAAAAAGATGTATTGAAATGATATAATAAAATGTCAATGATAAATCCTTTATTATATATCTTTATTATAATTATAATATAAATTTATGGCTATCTATAATTATTTTAATAGAATTTTATAATTTAAATAATTTTATAAAAAATATAAAAAATAAATTTGAATAATTTGAATAGTAGGTTTTATTTGAATAGTAATATTTGAATTTAGTAAAATCACTTTTTTCTAACCACCTTCTCTACCTAAGGTGGTTTTCATCACCTTGTTGTTTCATACTAACTTTTCTTTTTCAAGTCCTATTTACATTATCTTTCCTTTAAATTCTTTCCATACTACTTTTCTCTTCTCATTTTGACTTATTTTTAAATCAAGGTTTTTTTTTTAAAATATATATATATATATATATATATATATATATATATTCAAATTATTTTTATGTCAATTTTTTTTTTTTTTTTTTACAAAATTATTTCTAAATTATTCCTCATAAAGGATGTAAAATTTATTATTTTATCTTTTATATTAGTTTAAATGGTTTAAAATTTTAGAGTATTTTTAATAATAATTATAGATTTAATAACAACACAGAAGCATATAATTTTATTTGTATAACTATCAAGGATATAAAGTATAAAAAAAAATTTAAAAATATATATATATTCTTGTATTAAAAAAAAAAAAGTACATAAATCAAAGTAGATTTAAGATAGAAACTAAAATGGCTATTGCCAAATGCAAACAAAGTAGAGATTCTTAAGCAAAGACAAGAACACAAAAAAGGTGTTGTTAAGAATGAAGAAGGATTCATTTTTGCTTCCATGTATAATATATAACTAAAAAATTATGCAACAACATATTATAAATTATCCAACATGTATCCAATTTGCAAAACATGTGTCTAACTTGCAAGGCAAGTTTCTCATATGCTACATGGCCAACTTGTACCACAAGTGGTCAACATATGCAACATCTAGTTCACTTGTAAAAATAAGTAGTCAACATGTACAATATGAAGCCAACTTATTAGCCTAATTTTTAACCTATCAATCACCTACAAACAAGTATAAAATCAAATTTGCATTCTTAAAGCTTCTAAAAAGCTTTTCCACAAGATATTATCAAATTTATTTATTTTTACTTCTATCTAATTCACATTATCATCACGATTACTTAATCCAATGTTGATTTCCATGACAATAATATTATATATTATTTTTGATTTAAATTTATTAACTCGATTCTATTTCACTCAATTATGATTTGCATGTGTGATAATTTATTTCTTCAAATTTAAGAGTAAATTTATGTTTTTTTATTATTATAAAATATTATAATAATTTAAATTTTAGAAATTTTAGAGATTTTAAGATGCTATTAAATCCAAATAATATTTAAATTATTATTTGATATAACTTTAGTACAAAAAGATTTAATTTATAAAAATAGAATAAAATAGAAGAAATAAAATAAAAAAAAATAAGTTTTTAAAATATAGTTTTAAAACATTTATGATATATTTAAGATTAGGATTTTATGATGCTAATATTTTATAAAATATTTTTGATACTATTTTTATATATGAATTTATTGTGTATATGATTTGATATTAATTTTTTATACAAATTTTATTATTTCTATCAATTATCTTATTATATGAAAAGTGTACAATGATCAATTATTTTTCTTTTTTAACAATAATTTGGTACAATAATATGGCATTGTTTAAATTTTGTTGTTTGTAATGATTTTCTATATTTAGAAAATATAGAGGATTTTTTTATCTTATGGATGTAATATGCTTGATTTTTTTATTTTAAATTCATTTGTCAAAGAAATAGTTATTTGATGGACTAAATAAAGTAAAAATAAATTATTAAATGTGATAATTTATAATAAATTTGAACTTAAAGATCATCTGAATTTTTTTTATTAACTAATCAATCAAGATGCAAAGAAATTTCTATTTTCTTTTCTCTTTTTTCTTTTTGTTTAAGGATTTTTTTATAATTGTAATACTTGCAAATAGAATTTTTATTTCTCTAAAAGACTCTTGTTTACAATCACTACAATTCTTCTCTCAATGTCTTTAATGTAGTCACAGATCAAAATTAAGGTTTTTAAAATTTAGCATACTTATAATGCTTTTGTAGGATATAATAAATTAGTTTTGAATTCTTTTGATTATAAATAGTCTTTGTAGTAAGACTCATTTAGATATATATATATATATATATATATATATATGAAGCATTAATTTTTTAAAATTTTAATTTTGTTTTACTTAGAAGTAAAAGAAAAAAAATTATGATACTATTCAAGTTTCTTATTTTTTTATTTTTTTATATAAGTAAATTTATATTAAGAATGGTAATTACTTGTAGATTTATAACATCACATGTGAAACATGCTCAATTACCTTTTTAGGTCATTATAATAATTATATTTTCAATTACCTTTACATTTTAGGTCTTATAGAAAAAGAACCAGAGAACAAATTTTTGCCCCACCTTAAAAGAAGTCTCTAATATTTTTTTTTTTCTTTTAAATATGTAGAGCTTTGCATAAGAGATAGTAAGCCTTTTATTATAAGATAGTTTAATGGATAAATAAAGTTGTAGCTAATAAAAGGATAAAAGGTACTTTATGTATCTACAAAAGTATCTTAGGATTTTGTAAGATACTTAGTTATTAAGTTATTTAAGTTTAGAAATTATATTAGAATCTTAAATATTAAATATTTAATATTTAATATATAATATCATATTTCTAATTAATAATATTAATATTTAATAGCTTTATAAAATTGTGTATAAAATCTATAAATAATTATTAACCCTTATATAATATTTATAGTACTTATAATACATAATTTATGTTTTTATAATAAAATAAAAAATAAAGTAATTGTTATTAGCCATATTTAATACATTTTATACTACTATCTAATTATAATTTTTTAATATAAATAAGAATAACTTAGAATATATATATTACATTATATTATAATCGTAAATAAAAACAACTAAAAAAAGAAATTATAAATTATAATAGAAATAATTTACCTTAATAAAGTGCATCAATTATCTAAATTAGTATAGAAGAGTTGTAAAAATGTAGTAACTACATGTATATATATATATATATATATATATATATATATATATATATATATTTGAAGCTTGTCTAAAATCTAATTGTAGATGTAAAACCAACTTAAATAAATAACATTGAGTAATAGTTGAAAAAATCCAAAGTAATTGAATCTTATCAAACAATCATATAATTTTACTTATTTTTTATATGATATTATATTTGAATAGTATATATTGGATTTAATAAGAAGTAAAATAGATGATTTTTAAATTTCATGAATTTAAATTAAAATATCAATAATTATTAAATAATACTAAACTAATATATATATATATATATATATATATATACACACATCTTACATGCTATTTCAATAATAGATATATTTATTTTTATATTAAGTTTATAAAACTATTTATCAACCATTTTTATAATAAATTACTTTAATTTTTTTTAAATATTATTGTATACATTTTTGAAATAGGCACAATTGATTGTAGTACCAAAACAACAATCATTGAAATGATTAATGTGCAAAATGTAGTTTGCAATTAGTTGTTCTAAAAACTAGTGCAAGTTAAAGAATAAATAAATAAAAAATAAAAAACATATATTTTTTGATAGCATGCAAATTCATACTTGATATTTATATATATTTATATAAATACATATACTTATTTATATAAATATATATACTTATTTATATAAATATATATATATATATATATATATATAACTATAAAATAATTATAATTATAAATTTTTAAAAAATCACAAATAGATCCTTCTTTTTTTTGAAAACAATATATCATCAATACATTAGTTGACTATAGAGGTCATTTGAAATAAAGAATAAGTTTTCTTAATATTTTTTTTTAATTAAATTTCATAAATATGATTGAATCAATTTTAAAATTTTAAAAATATTCAATAAATTTCTCATATATTATTTTATTTCAGAATATTGAAGATTGTTTTTTAAAACACCATTTCAGTTCTTAACGTTTTAAAACATTTAAAACACTCTTTATTTTAAAAATGAAATCTCAAGCCAGATACATTAATTTTTATTTTAGTAACATAAATAAAATTCTTGCTTCAATATATAATATAAAAATCAACTGATATCATTAAATTTGAATATTTAATAAAATAATAAAAGGTTTAAAAATAATTAAACTATTAAAACGTTTAATATGATTCAAGCTATATTCATTAATTATTACTTAATTAAACTTATTAATTCTGTAAATTATTTTAAAAAAATATTTTATTTTTTATATGTAACATAACACATTAAGTATAGTAATGTGCAATAATGTACGCTTCTATGAAGCGGGGTGGGGTGAAATCTCACTCTCGAGAGAGGGCCCCAGCCCTCGAATCCCAGGTGTCACCCGGGTGAGATGAAATCTCGAGAAAGAGAAAGTGGTCCTGAACCCTTGAATACCGGGTATCAAGCGGGGAACCCCTATCGCTGTGGCCATCATCTGGAGATGGTGCATCACAGACAGACAAGGAGGCCATGCATGGGGCGGGTGGAAGCCTTGGCCAGGCTCCTAGACCCCGTCCCTATTTTCGTTCGGAGACGAACGAAGACCGTCGAGAGGGACGACGGAAACCGCGGCGGAGACGAAGAACAGGAATCGCGGTGACTGCCGCGTGACTTGGTTCTGCCAGCGTGCTCCCCAATTGCTCCATCTCGGCGGTTCAACATTGTTGAAGCGGAATCACGAGCTTGGATATGATGGCGATTGGCTGATTCTGGCGTAGAAGGGCGCGGGGAGGGCGGAGTCGTCTCCAATCATTAGCTGGGACGGAACTTCTGCCCGCATTCTTTACGTCCGGCTATGGCGATGTGCCACTTCCATTTTTGGATTCGGGATCATCATCATCGTCATCAGCATCATCATCGACAGCACCAGCACCAGCACCAGCATCGGAGCAGCAAACTCTTGGTCGCGATTGCGTAAGTGACTTTCTGTGCAGGTGCTGTGGATTTGGACATACAGTAGTGTGGTAGTGATGGGATCGAAACGGAGTTGGGACAGGGACAGGGCCTGTAGGTTAGGGGAACGCTGTACCGCGAGATGACGACTAGTTTGGAGTGCTAGTTTAAGGGATAAGTTTAGTATCTAGGTTTGGGAGGGAGACTAGGCTGGTGCGCTTGGAGGATGGACCGCGGAGAGCTCAGTAGAGGGTAGCGCTTGAGCACAGTAGGGCGTCGGATGGTGGCAGCATGTTGAAGATTCGAGGTGCGTGCGTGATGTGGCGGTGTTTTCTTTTCCCTTTTCTTTTCTTTTCTTTTTTGCTCAAGGGGGCACAGCATGTTAGGGTGATGATGAAGATGACGAACACGATGATGTTGATGTTTCCCTTTCGAGAGTCCTAGTGAGAAGGAAAGGGATCGTTTGGGTGTGAGTATGTGAGCATGGCAGTTGTACGGTGCGAGAGAGTGGGAATGTTCGTGTCGGCAGATTTGGGAGTGTTTGGAGACGTCCAATAGATAGACAGTTGTGTGAGAAGGTAGATGCGAGGGCAGAGGTGTCAGAAGGTTCATCTGGTGTTTCTTTTTGTCTCTGTGGTCTGAATTTTGTGCAGTGTCGATTGAGATAGCGTAGTAGGGCATGGAAAGCACATGATGCAATTTCTGAAACCCTAATTAATGGCATCTTATGTAGGTCAGAAGTTTTGGACGAGGGTAATAGTAAGTGTCTTACGCGGTAGAGTTGCAGGCATATGGAAATGTGGAAGATGGCAGAGAATTTTAAATGCAATGTAAGCTCTTGCGTGAATGTCTCGTATCCCCTGACAATTGGCTTTTAGGTTAACGCTTGTTTGTAACCTTCTGTTACAGAAGAAAGTATTCGAGTCAGATTAGAAAGAATGAGGTGCTGGATTAGAGCTATCGGATTTTGTAGGAAGAAAGTAGTTGAGCCCTCCTGTGATCAATCGATTTACAGCTCTAGGTTGTGCAATGCAGGTGTTCACTATTGTTGTGAAGGTTGCTATCATTATGGTGAATTGACCGTTGGCTCTGAATTGTTATTAAACATGGACCACCTCTGGTTTTATCCTTGAGGGTTGATGGAGAACTCACTTTCCACTCTCAGTTTGGGGATTAGAACGCAGAGGTTGAGTGGAAGACATCATACAGTAAGGGGTCGGTCCACAATCTCGTTGACAGATTTGTCAGACAGATATGGCTCCTACTGTAAATTATTCTGATTCTGATAGGAGGGGAGCTCTGGAGGGGAATCATGTGACAGGCTTTCCAAATGAACGAGAAGGTACTGTGTCGTCCACCGTCGAGACAGGCGAAATGCAGCAACCTGGATCGAAGTTAAGCAGTGAAATTTCTGAACAAGGAATGACATCAGAGATCCCTGCCTTGGACGACGGGAGGCGACGGAGCTCTCGTCTCAAAGGCAAGGCTTCTTCAATACATGCGGGTACTGATGGTGGAAGTCCCCCTGTTATTAAACAGCCATCAGGTAGTGGAAGAAAAGGTAGGCGGAAGAAAGCTCCTACAGCAGAGAGTGTGCAATGCATTGGGGATTCGGTTGAGGAATCGAAGAACGATGTTAAAGTCGGAGCTTTCCATCAGGATTCGACCATGAAACCTGAGAACGCAGGTGCTAGTCCAGTGGAAGTTAGAACCCCAGTAGGTTACGCTTCGATTTGTGGGGAACCGACATTGCCACATGAGACTGGTGAAGCGAAAACGGCAAGAGTCAAGAAATCAGAGGACCTTGGTATCCTCGATGATCCCCTTTGTGTGGTTAAAGAGAGTGCTGGAACCACTGGACCCGCCACACATACAAGAGGGGATTTTTGTGACAGTAATATATTTGAAAATCTTCAAAGTATTGTGATATTACATCCAGAAGAGAATGCAATCCACAACGAGGTTCCCAGTACATCCAGAAGTGAGGCCCGAGAAATGATTGAAATACGAGTTGCAGATTTGCCGGAGGCGAACCTAAAGGATGAAAAATGTAGGCAAGGATGCACTGGACTTATCAATGCTAATTCTGAAGGTACAAGTCCTGTGATATCCGATCATAAGGATGTCACAGCCAGAGTAGACGTTCAATCACGTTGTGAAACCATTTTTCAACTCCCCAAGGATCTGACAGAAATTGAGGCACAGCCTCAAGTGTCGGATTCTAAAGAGGAGGATGCGTCGAGAGAGAGTAATAGCGCCTCAAAAGCAGGCGAAGACGCATTCAAACTAAACGGGAATGACGGAGAGGATTCGAGTTCTGTGACCTCTCGGGATGACGTCGCACATACCACAGCTGCAAGCGTAGATAAAGACAGTAAGGTCACATGTGGTGATAACGCAAGAGGTGGTAAGCGCCCTAACGGGCTTTCTCTTTCCTTTGTCGTCTTTTCTAGTGCTCGATCTGCTATTCCCGTCTTTTTATTTGTGCGACATCAAATGATAAGAAAGTAAACCTACAGATACTGCTACTGGTCCTTCGCAAACTGCTCCAAATGTTCAATGGGATGTGTAGACAATTGGGTGTTTTGAATCGTTTGCAGGTGCTACAAAACTTGCATCTAAGGCCTCATCAAGCGATGTACACATGGCCAGGAGTTCTGAATTGCTAGCTGAAAAGACCAAACACTTACAATCTGGGAAAGAGATTTCTATTTATTTTGAGAAGATCCATGATTATGATGACCATGTGGGAAGTAGGAGCAGTTCAGAGGCTAAAATCTCAAGGGTATGTCCTTCCAAAAGCAGAACATTAACTCTCGGTTCTCAGGCCTTAGAAAATGGGAATGATGGTAATCAAAAGACATCCTCAAGTCCTTTGGAAGAGAGACCGACGTTGCAGACAGCTTTAGAAGCTGCCTGCCCTCAATCAGGTAACATATTTTACAACTAAGTCACATGTGCTAAAAACTATAGAACTAAACTGGAAAATTTGACTGACCTTCAATATAGTTTGGGTTAGCACTGTCATTCACACCGTGTAGTCCTTCGAATTGTATGTGTCTCTTTTGGTTTGTTTTTCAAAAAATATACAAGTTCAATTTTTGAAATCTATTGTCAGTTTGTTGTAGTGAGGATGATTGACGTAGAGAAAAAAGTTGGGAAGTGACATGAATCAGAACTTTTTCTGTCCTAGGTGTAAGTGAATTCTTCTGGCATGAGGTACTGTGTGGTGTCCTAGGTGTAAATTATTGCTGTCTCTTCTTCTTTTCATCAGGTGGAGTAGAAGGTGCTTTGCTGCTTGACAAAAAGTCCGACTCACTCAAATCAGTCAATCAAGAGATAGACGTATCCACTGGTGATGTTCCGGGTGCCGTGAAGGCTGACAGCAGTGTTGGTGAGTTGCTTCATACTCTTTGACCAGTTTGAATCTTCAGGGTGAAGCCTGCTTCTTTTTTCTTTTTCTTTTTTGAGATTTTTTTCTCCTTTCCGTTGTCTATTTTTTAGAGGTCCTTTACTAATGCCTTAATTGTGTTCTGTCAGTGGTTACAGAAAGTCTCTCAAGGCAGACTAAAAATACTGCTGTTGGAGAAGACGATTCGAGTGGTGTAACTGAGGGTGATGAAAACACTACTAGTGAGAAGGTGGATGAGAGCATTAGCATCGACTCTAAAGCTGGATGGGTTAAGTGTGACGATTGTAAGAAGTGGCGTAGCATTCCAGTGGAGCTTGCTGAGAAGATAGGGGACACAAATGTCTATTGGTAAATTTTCTATTTTTGACCTTTGGGTTGACACGCAAGTATCTTCGATAGATTTATCTGATTTGTTTTGGCTGATGATTGTTTCATTAATTTACTGTAACTATTTGATAATTTTGTTGAGATTGTTACCTTCCAGAATACTTTCAAATAGGTTTGATAACCCATAGGGATTATCTTAAAGGCAAAATTTTAATAGCGATCATCTACGAAATAGGCTGGATGCCCACTATTGGATCTGATTTAGTTTTAGTGCAAGGAATCATTTTATGTTATTCTGACTTATTAGTTTTCCACTTGCAAGGATGACATCATGAAGTAGATGTAGGATGCTATTTGAACTTTTCAGTCGCCAGAATAGAAGTTCAATGTCTAGTATCTAATGTGTGGCAACTGTCGCTTTATTAGATATTAATACTGGAAAGATATTGACTGTTGATTACTCTGGACTTGAGAGCAACTATGCTGGACACTGCCAGCTGAAGAACCCTTGTTGAGCATAGGGTTACTAATATTGGATAGGGACAAGTTTTTTTGTAGTTTTTATCGAAGACTAAGCGAAACTTCTTTCTGCAGGTCATGTAAGGAGAATCCGAATAAGCAGTTCGCAGATTGCTCTATCCCTCAAGTGAAAAGCAACGAAGAAATAAATAGAGATCTAGGAATTTCTGAAAGCTCCTTTTGTGATGAAGATGAAGATGGAAAAGAAGATGAAACCTGTGATTCTAGGCCCATGTATAACGGTATACAAGGTGCGGGAGTGATTAATGTTCTATTGCCATTTTTTCTATTTGTACAGGATTTCATTTAATATCGTGCAATTCATATCCTTAGTTTTGACATGACATTGTATGGGTTTTTATTTGGGATTTTTGAGATGGAGTTTTAAGCTGTGGCAGAGAATGGACAAGCTGTGTGGACGCTTATAAAGCGAAATATTTTCAAACACCGCAACCAAAAACACCAAGATGCTGATGAGGTAGTTTTGAATGAGTTCGCATACTTGAAACCTGTTTGGATGTGAATAAAGCGAGTGCAATTAACAGTGTATGTTTTTTGGTGTTTAAAGTTTTCTTTTGTATTTTTCCCTCAGGCAATGGTATGTCAGTGTGCGCCTCCTAAACCGGGGGAAGTTGGCTGCGGCGAGGACTGCTTAAATCGAATACTCAATGTCGAGTGCTTGCCGCAACAATGTCCATGTGGACCATTGTGCACAAATCAGCAGGTGTGTTTAGAATGTTGGCTTTCCTGTAGTTTAGCGCTTGATGGTTCCTACATTCCAGTATTTTCTTTTCGTCTTATGGATAAGAATTTGTATCGGGTTTCTTTTGTTTGATTTTTTTCCTTTTGCGTGAAAACAAAGTTTGTTTGCTTTGAGGTCTCATGATGTCTTATATTGCAGTTCCAAAAGCGGACTTACGCAAATGTGGAACTATTTCGATGCGGGAAAAAAGGCCATGGACTTCGAGCCCTGGAGAACATACCAAGGGGCACATTTATCATAGAGTATGTTGGGGAGGTACGTCATTTTTTCCCTCGAGCAAGCTTGGTTTCTTTATTTTCTCTGTGTTAGGTCATGCATGATGCTTGTTGGAGTGATGTCAAGGTTCCTGGTAGTAGAAGTGTTATATAATGTGTAAGCTAATCTTTATGCAGATGAGTTGTGTTTTGTTCAAGATTTGTTTTCTTCTCATCTGTGCCTTTGCATTCTTTTTCTGTCTTATCATGTGGCTTACCTTTCTTTCGTTGTCCGCTTCAGTTAGATCGTCTTTGATTTGTGCAATGACATTTGCTGATTTGCTGCTTCTTTTTCCAGGTGTTGGACATGCCATCTTTTGAAGCGCGTCAAAAGGAATATTCGATGAATTCTCAAAAGCATTTCTATTTTATGACATTGAGTGCCAATGAGGTAATCTCTTGCTTTGACATTGTGATCACTTTGTAGAAAGATGAACTTGAGGTTTAGCAGTACAACTGTGGACCTTTCGAAGCAAGTCTATGTCGTCCTCGCCACTTTTCAAATAATTATTGTTATCCTCTGAGATGTCTAGTTCTTTTGAATTGCCTCGACGTACAATTCTTAGTTAAAGTTCAGTCCTAAAATTTGTGCTTTCTATCATACATGAGAGTTTTGAAGACTAGCGATGTGGATGAACGCATCAGATTTTGAAATGAGATTCATCAGCTATAAAAGGGGCTCCGGTTTTGCAGATTATTGATGCTTGCAATAAAGGCAACTTGGGGCGTTTTATTAATCATAGTTGTGAGCCCAACTGTCAAACGGAGAAGGTACTCGAGTTGAAATTCTGCCACTCGGAGGATGTCATCTTGTTTCTGTGCTCTCCCTTGTTTTAAAGACATTTGAATTGTTAAATCCTGGAAATATTATAATATTTTCTTAGTGTGATTTTTAGACTTGATTATCGTATATTTTTTTGGTATACTCGCTTTTTCTACTCGAGCTGGAACTGGAAGCTTCACTTAGTTTTTTGTCAATTGAACTAATTATATTTCACGATTATGGATCAAATAGTCGCAGAGTGACAGAGGTTTGCAGCAAGTAGGTGCAGGTGAATTATCGGAAGGAGTTTTTATAATGATCTGTCTTTTTCTCACTTGGGGTGCGTTTGGTTGTAGTGGATGGTGGACGGTGAAGTCTGTATTGGGCTTTTCGCTATCCGTGATATAAAAGAGGTACCTCTTTTAGTGTCCCTTGTGGAAATCTTTTTAATTTTTAGGTTGATAATGATGAAGTAAGACGTCGTTTTGAACATCGCTTGTTTTTGTTGAAGCTCTAAATTACTTGAAGTATGAGGTATCGAAGGCAACACTTTGTTTTAACAACATTGATTAATCTTTGTACAAGTAGCAAGTAGCTAAACATTGTCGTATCGCTGTCGCCAGAGAGAAGAGGTCACCTTTGATTACAACTTTGTACGTGTTGGTGGCGCTGATGCCAAGAAGTGTGAGTGTGGTGCAAGTAAATGTCGAGGTTTCATTGGGGTTGACCCAGACACTCCACAGAACGTTGTGGATGTTGATAGTGATGATGGAGAGGATCCAGAACCTATCATGTTATACGCAGAAAGCGACGAGGAACGTGATATTGCAGCCGGGAAATCAAAAGAAGGGGCGGCAAAGAAAGCAAGAATAACAGCAGGCAGTGAGAGCATGTACGATAACAATTGGAAATTTGGAGGAGTGAAACGTAAGTTTTACTCAGGAAGAGCGAAAGACCTGGTAAGCCCGAAGAGATCAAGACGAGTAAAGACAGCAGCAGTTTCTAAAGTAGGAAGCCACAGATCAGCACCATCAAGACTTTTTGCTGCCTCTCGCTTTGGCACTCGCAATACTTACCACAGTGATGGTATGAGACTGACCACTTCACACATTTCTCATTATTTGCTTTGTTTTATCACGTCTTACCTTTTTCTTGGTTCAATTTGTGCATACTAGGGCGAAGTTTTGTAGTTTTTAAATCTCTGGGAATACTTGTTACTACCTGTTGTGTAGCATAACACTTAGTAACCTTCTCACACTTTGAATGGTTGTAAAAATCTGAGTTCCTTGTGTACAAGCATGGCAACACATGTTGTCTGTGTAATTCTTCAGCATATGGAATAAGTAACTTCACACTCGTGCAAACCTCGTGCTTAGAAATGATTGGTTGTTATCCAATGGTGTAGCAATTCTGTTAGTTATGCTCTGCTCTTGTTTTTGCAGTTGAAGAGAAATTGGGAGAATTGACGAATGAGTTTGGAGGGCTTCGAAAACAAAAGGTTAGTCATTGATGCCCCTACATTAATTCTTGATGCTTACGTTAGTGGTCCAGATCTTTGAAGCGCTCGAGATATTATGCCTGTTCTGTTCTGTTCTGTTCATTCCGAAATATATAGAGACCCCTGATATGATGATCACTTGTGATCGCAGGACGCTGCAAAACAGTATCTAAAGCTGTTGGTGCTTACAGCAGCTTCTGGTGGCAATGTGAACGGGGCTGCTGCCTGCAGGTTTGTGATTCATTTATTATATTTTTTAGCTCTCTTTTTAGTTGTTGTGTAGTAATAATCTAGTTTGTCGATGCTTCAATTTGAATTTTATAACAAAATTTGAATGGGAAAAATCCTCAATAGTTTCTTCATGGCAGCAGTGCTCGTGACCTATCGATGCTTTTGGAGGCACTTCTCAAGACTCAAAAGTCGAGTTTGCTGAAGGACATCATGGACAAGAATGGTATGGATTTAGATTGCTGTTTTATTAGTTCTTGCAGTCTTATTTTATGACGCAACGTTAATAGATACATACACAAGTTACGTTTGTAATTTCATACACTTCATAGAAGTCGTTATGATCTTAGTGCCGTACCATAGCTATGAATTGAAGCACGATGAACGACTTTAGATCAAACATTGTGAATGTCTCAATTTCTGTCTATATTGTGGCGTGGAGTGCAGGTTTACAGATGTTTCACAACTTGCTTAAGCAGTTTCGGAAGTCCTTCGAGAAGAGACCAATCCTTCGGAAGCTGCTTAAGGTTCTAAGTTTCACTCCGAACTTCCTCTCATGATCTGGCTTACTATAAATGCTTCTTCATGAGCGTGTACCGGCAGTCACGTCAAGTTGCTATAATGATCAGTGCTTGAATGTCTAACGCTGATAGTTCGCATTTTCCTTGCAATTCATGAAGGATAAGTTGATGGTAGTGCAGATTTGATTGCAACCCTTTTACTCTCATTGCTAAGATGAACAATGTGCAGAGAACATGTAATTTCTTTATGTTCACTATGAGATGTTTTTATTACTAATGTATTATAGTTTCTATGTTTAAGGTTTTGGATCATTTAGCAAAAAGGAGGGTTTTAACAGTCGAGCACATTTTTAGCCCTCCGCGATCAGGCAATGAATGGTAATCCTGTTAACACTTGTTGGTGGTGTTAATTGTATTATACCTATCTTTTATTTTTTTTTTACTATCACTGACTTTTCTCGCCATCGCGCAATCATCTAAGTGACTAGCAATAATATGTTCACCGCCTGCTGACCATGGTTCTGACCGTAACCATGTGTGTATGTACAGCTTTTCCGACACACTCTTTGACCTTTCTAGGCATGATGATATGGAGGTATTTTTCAGCCTGATTTTATTCTTTTCTTCGGCATGAATGTTGTGATGGTAGTGGAGCTTGTCAGGTCATGTGTGCGTCAGAAAATTTCTTTGTCTGTGAAGATGCTCATATGTTGACCCTCGAATTAATGATGCAGGTTCAGAATATGGCTCGTAATTTTCGGAAACTATATGTTCCACCGCGGCCTCATAAGCCTGTCGTAAATACTGAACGGCCCCTAGTTAAACCACATTTGCCACAAACGACTGTTACCCTCCCCTCACCCTTAGTGATGGAGTCTCCTCAAGTAGGCTCATCGGCTAATAATTCAGTGGAACAGCCAGTAGAAGGTAACTCAGCAAACCCTCCTACAGGTAGTGGGCGGAAAAGGCCAAGTAGGTGGGACACTGTTACAGATTCTGATGCACCCTATGAAGCAAGCGCGCCATTAGGGACGCCAAACCCAGCGCTGTATGGCGCTGTCCATCATCAGCAAGTCGGTTCATCAGAGCAGGGTGCTTCCGGCTTCACACCCAGAAGTCATCTTTCAGCAGCTTCAGGTTCGCAACAAACATCTACGACTATTTCCTCAGATCACTCACAAAAGCCTTCAGTATCTTCAACGCCAGCAGGAATACCAGGACGAGCTTCAGGACCCCCTCCACCTGCTCAACATCATGCTGGTCATCATGTAGTTCAGGCTGGGGGATTGCAACATCAAGGTTTTCCACCTGGTCATATTCCCGTTCCGATGCCTGGTCAAAGACCAGCCATTTCTCCTGGGCCCGTACACTTGGGCATGCCTAGGAATCCCATGGGTAATGATACGCCTCCAATGTCACAAAGACCATGTATTGGAGGGAAGCTGCTGAGACCAGATATGGTATCTGGACCACACCCCATGCAAGGCGGCCCCTTGCAAATACCAGCAGTCGGTATGCATCCTTTACCTTATGCATACCATCGAGGTCACCCTAACCAGGCTGTTCCACTCGTGCCCGCTATGCCCTCCGTGCAATGGCCGATGATGTACCCTGTGTTTGGCGGGGCTTCCTTTCCACCGCCACCTCAACCTCAACCTTGGCGACATAGTGGCCCGAGGCCGATGGATGGTTTTGCTGGCCATGCTTTTGGGTTAGGCAGAGAAGGTTCTGAAGACAGTAGAGGTCAAGCGAAGCATAGCTATCCCGTCTCACAAAGCTCGAGTATGAAAAGTACGAGTAATGAGCCGAGAGAACCAGAGACGGCAGGAGAACCTCCCATACCAGGAATGTCCCCTACAAGCCTCCGAGGCAATCGTACGTTAGAAAGAACCATTGCCGGGTTACCTGAGCCAGCACAACGTTCTGCTAGGTCTTACAACGAAAGTAGAGTTACAAGGTTAGAAGCTCCTCCACATACTCAAAGAGAACACGAGGCAAAGACAAGGGGTTATGATTCAAATACGATGAGTCGTTCTCGTAGCATACCAAGCGATGTAGTGTCTATACAACAGGTCTACACTCACCCAGAATATAGGGAAGGTGTGCAAGACAAAGGCCAAAGAGAGATGAGTTGGGATACCCCTGAATGTTCAAGCTTCCACCACCATGTAAGCTCTTGCATTTTGCAGCACCTTTTCCAACTTGGATGTGTGAAGTTAATTGATTATTCATCGAAGTCGTGTGAGTTCATCTCTGATTTCCTATGAGTTATGCAGGTGTCAGGTATGGTACGTGCCCGAGTTGAGATGAAACAATTGGTAAGTGAAGGCTTTTCAAATTTTAACAACTTGTTAATGATTAAATCGTTTTATGGCACAGTAATCTGATTGCTTTTCATCCTGTCCGTGTTCAAAGTTATCTCACTAATGGATACTGTTCTGATTCTTAAGGTACATTATAAGGACTTGGAGAAGTTTTGCAGCAAGCTAACTGAAGTCGTCACTCGTAAGGAGATCAAAAAGCATAGAGAAAACAAAACACAGGTGAAGATATGCTCTGCAGTAATGGTTAGCATGACGTTCATATTCCATTGTTGCGGAAAATAAATTTGGTAGTTAATATAAAAAGTATGTCTGGTTGTATGCAGGGAATGACGAAAGTAATCCTCAGAAGCAAACTACTGGAGAAGGTGGATGCTTACGTAGACTTGCAAATTGGGCTTTATAGTAAATCGAGCAAATTGAAGAGTGGCGAAGGGCAGTCCTGAAGGAAGCCACCAGCATCTGGTCCAGTTCAGCGGCTTTTGTACAGTAGTCCCAAAGAAGCCCCACCCAACTTTTGCGTTCTAGTGTAGACTTATTCTTCGAAATAATGGCAACAAACACGGGGCACCGCTTGATGCTTGTGTCCCATCTTACAAAAATTTACAATGTTGTGGCAACCATTTACCCCAGGTTAATGAAACAATTTTCTTTTCTTCCAGTCCCTAGAAATTATATGGATGATAGGAGGTTGTTTCTGGGGTGGAGCTGCTTGAATTGTTATTTTTCCCTTAATCGTCGACACGATTAGGTCGCAGGTGTTATAATGTATATCACCGTGTTTTCTGTGCGGTTATTCACACTGCTCCTGATGTTCCTGACCTATGCAGGACCAGTCAAAAATTCTTTTGATGTCTACTGCACACTTTTTTATTCTAATCTGTGAGTTACATGCTTCTCGTCGTGATTAAAAAAGAACTAGTTGTCTAGGTAACGCCAAGGTTAACAAGACAATCACATTCAGGGGGAACTTTGTAATTCAGCATAGATACTGGCATGTGTCCGCCATGCAACTGTCTTTTCAAGCAGCTAAAAGTAATCCATTGTATTGTGAACTGGTACCAGGTCACCACACTAATTTCAAAGGCATCACCCTATCAGCTTGCCAGTTGCATCCATCAACTCGAGAAACGGGAGTAAGAGGTGCGAAATCTTGTGAACCAGATAAAAAGATTTCCTCAAGTTTGCTGTTTTTGATTATCTTGGTTGAAGTGTTCAGTGTCTACAGTATACTTCTAATGTTCTCTATCACAAGCAGTATGGTTTTGCCTTCGTCGACGTCGAGAGATTCCCATTTTGATATAGTCTTGCTGCACACCTGGCTTTCAGGATTTAGGCTTTTTATCCTGGGATGTTTTGTTCTGACGTTTCTAACCTACAACAGATATTTCCACAGGCAGAAATTCAGACCCTAGAGTTTGTGAGCTTCTGTTGTTTGTACACTAGGTTCAACTTTTGAATAATAATGATACTGATATGTTCAGTAGCTAATCATATTGGTTTAACGACGGAGGAGGTGCAATATCCTTTTCCAATTCAACTTGTTCCCTTGTAAGCAGCTGAGTAGATTCAGACTTGGGCTTTTATTGTCCGAGTTCATCTTCATCCAAGAGAAATTCCTTCGCAAGTCGGGCTAGTGAAGAACGTTGATTCATATTTGCCTAGGCTGTAGAATAAGAAATAATTTTTTTTTTACGGCTAAAATCTTTCAATCCATGTTATATGACAACTCCAGTGTAGTCTTGTGTTACTTCTATAACCAAGCAGATTGTAAATTATCCCACCAGTGAATGATATTATACAGTACACTGCAAAAACTCAATAATCAAAGAATTAAAGTGTTGACTGTTTATTGGCGGCTCTTTGGTGTTGCTATGCTCTTTTGCATCTCTCTATCAGATTTTAAGCAAATATGGCCTTTTCAAATCTGATCTATTTTTTATTGTGAAGTATAGACTCTTCGCACAGTCGGAGTGGTTGCCATGGGTGGTATTGAGAGGAAAAGTGTTCTATTTTATGATATGCAGAATATTGGCGCCACAATGCTACTTCATCTTGCAATTTGCACGTTTGGGGGACTATACCTCAATTGTATATTTGGAAGCATGCGTTTCATGAATTCGATGTAGAAGATTATATTGTTTGGAGTTTGTTCATTCCATTCATCAAAAAAGACTAACAATATTTGTCATGGTCATTGGCTTAAACTGAAATGACGAGAAAAAATTTGAAGTTACAAAAGTATAAATACGGATGTAAATGAAATGTAAAAGAATGAGATATGAACCAGCCCAGCTTTGATAGAGCTTGTGTTACTTCACAAAGCGTGGTTTCAAAGAGCATAGTTTTATCTACAAGCAACGACGACTACATGCTCGAGCCAAATCACACGTTACCAACGTCAGGACCCTGGCGAGCAGACAGATTAGTCGACGCAAAATTGCATATGGAAAAGATTCTTGAATTTCCAGAATCGACCCTCTCCAAATGTCAACTACAGGACTCCATGAATATTAAGCATTTACACTATTTTAATAAACTGTCGAAGATGACCTGAAACGCCAGGTAGTAGAGAATGAAAGAAATATGAAGGTCAACTAATTCGTATTGAAAAGTTACAAAAATGAGCCTTACTAAGGACTCTTTAAAATGGTCTCTGCAGAATGCATACCTTATGAAGTGGGAATGCTGACCCAACTGAGTAGAAAGGGTGCCCGTCGGTCACATCCTCCAGAAAACTACTATGTCATGAATGAAATACCAGGAGAATCGACAGCCTCCACATTTCCGCGGCGTGGCTGTGCAATATTGCAACCCACTTGGAACGTGTCCAGAAACCAACTCACGCACATGTACAAAAAATAGCATGTACTGCAGGTTTCTCTATCCAAAAAATCTCAAATAAAAATCATGCTTCCACGATCTTAATCTAATTCCAACATTCGCCGCAGCTAAGCCATTTTGTGGCAATCAAGGAGCACCACAGCGTTTGTAGGAGCTCATTTCAGAAGCTGACGCTTGGAACGTTTCACGGAGGAAAAATGTTGCTGGTATCTAGGGTGAGACGAGTTCAAACTTCAAATATTACATCCACCCCCAACATTTGCGTCATTATCTCTAAAAGTCTTCTTCGGTAGCAGCGCGAGCTCTCTGAACTTGCAAGCAAGGTAGCCACCGGCACAAAACTCACCATCTATAACCTACAGTCCCGCAGATCTCTTGAGATGTCTCTTGAAATCCATAATATCACCATTCCACCTAGTGATCGTCTTTTTCTCGCACACCCAGATCTCTTTGGCAACCTGATTGATGAGCCTGAAGTCGTGACTGACAAGAACAAGACCTCCGTCCCACTCGTTAAGAGCCTCAGCAAGAGAATCAATAGTTTCAATATCCAAATGATTAGTTGGCTCATCCAGAAGGAGCAGATGGGGTAGTCTCCACGCCAACCACGCAAAAATAACACGACTTTTCTGCCCATCAGAGAGATTGCCCATAGGCATAACTTGAGCTTTACCAGTGAGTCCAAAGCGCCCAATGGCAGACCGCATCTTCTCTTCCTCGAGGCCAGGGTACTCCGACATCATATACTGAAGTGCTGACATTTCAAGGGATAAGGTCTCTGCAAGGTGCTGATGATATTGAGCAATTCGAAGATGATTGTGCCGACGGACCATACCATCCAATGGCTCCAACTCACCAGTCATGAGTTTTAAGAGAGTACTCTTTCCAGCTCCATTGGGTCCCACGAGGGCTATGCGAGAGTCAAGATCAACGCCAAAGTCAACCTTCTCATATATAAGCTGATCGGGTGTGTAGCCAAACTTCAGATCAACAAACTGAAGAACGGGTGGTGGCAGTTTTCCAACATCCGTAAACCTGAAAGTCAAAACCTTATCCCTAACAACCTTTTCTGCGAGTCCACCTCTTTCCATCTTGGCTAGCGTTTTCTCTTTACTTTGAGCTTGACGAGCGAGCTTTGCAGAACCGTGCCCAAATCGAGCGATATATTCCTTCATAGCTGATATCTGCTCTTGCTCCCAACGATACTGCTTCATCTGATTCTCTTCCAATTCAGCCCTTGTTTGACAGTACTGATCATAATTTCCTGTGTAAAACTTGAGCTGTTTGTTTTGCATGTGAATGATGTTTGTGCACACACCATTCAAAAAATCTTGGGAGTGAGAGACAACAACCAGGATCCGCTCAAATTTCTTCAGGGTCTCCTCCAACCACACACAAGCCTCCAAATCTGGACAAGAGATCAATAATTGGAAATTAGCGCAAATTCCAGAAACACAACTCGCAGTCTCCGGAAAGCTGTACGTGCAGATAACCTGAAAATGGAGATCAAATAAGAGGTGGTAAACGCACCTAAGTGATTGGTGGGTTCATCCAGTAGGAGGATTGTTGGGTTCATGAACAAAGCACGAGCCAAAGCAATCCTCATTCTCCACCCTCCCGAAAAGTCTCGCGTCTTTTTGTTTTGCATTTTCTTAGTGAATCCAAGACCATGCAAGATCTGGGCTGCCCGCATTTCTGCTGTGGCAGAGTCCATGGCCTCCAACCTCTCATAAATACGCTCCAAGGGCTCGCCTCCACCGTCATCCTATTTACATTAGACACTGTAATGTCAAAGACCAATCGTAACAACAATTTGTACACATGTAGAATGCTGATCATGAATGATGAAATTACACCTTATTGGATGCCCAATTTAAAAAAATGAAGCTGATACTCACTTGTTGGGAGAGCTTCTCAGCCTCTTTCTCCAGGAGAAGCCTCTCTGAATCCACATTCATGACAGCCTGAAGCGCCGTCATGTCTGTAGCGTCGATCTCTCTGGTCAAATGGTATATATCCATATGCTCCGGGATTGGGACTTCTCGAAGACCGATAGCGGTCAAAAGCGTAGATTTTCCACAACCGTTCAGTCCAAGCAAACCGTATCGTCTGAAAGCGATGAGAGGAATGTCAGCTACTGCTTACACTAGGTGATTCTGGAACTAGTATCAGCTTTGATACTAATCTAACACTCACTTCTTCCATTCTGTGATTGCGTTTCCAAGAGGACGAGTAAATGAGAGAAGTCTCTAACCTTCCGTAATTCAGTTCCAAAGTTGAGTCTGCCACCAGCTCGTGACCATGGAATGTTACAGATAAGGACTCGATCTGCGAAAAAACGGAAAAACCAATGAATCTTGTGGGGAACCCTCAACAGTAAAAACCAATCGTCATCTGATATCGCAACATGACAAAAGATAGTGAAAGACATCTCCCTGTCACAAAAATCGAATAATGACACTTCTGCCACTGTTATGGGTTGACGTACACCTGCAAGAATAAATAGGTAACAAAACAACAAACTACGTTCGAACTGAATAAATAGTATTAAATGGCACATTTTCAACATCCATAATGTGTCACAACCCCTAAGAAGGCCCTACGCCGTGGAATCAAAGAATTCCCTTGACCTGGAGTTTGTAGAAACTTACGTGGATATCTCTTGACTGGGCATGAGATGCTAGAACACCCGTACAAGTCCGGTCAGTTATGTTAGCAGCAGCCAACTCTTCCGCCAGGGTGTCCGCAGAGGTACCGTTAGTGACATCTTTCAGCTTCGTCTGTGCAACAACGGCCGCTGATTTGGATCCACGCTTCTCGGCAGCAGCGAGCTTTTTGGCCGCGGCCTTCTTCTTGCTGGCGTCTGACACCATTGTCTCGTGTGCTAGAATTCAAACGAGCACAAACTATGTTCTCCTCACTCCAAAGATGGATCTGCGATTGAGAAGTAATTCATCAACCGATCAATACACAGGGCACCACCTCCAGTGTAAAACAGAAAAATGATAACAAGCAAATCAGAGCGGGAGTTTAGAGATGGTTAGATCTGGTAGATAAGATAAAAACAAAAAAAACTAAAACTAAAACTAACAAAACAAAACAAAAATACAACACAGCTATACAAGTACAAAAAAGCAGCCACGACCTCGTACCACTACCTTAACCACATATGCGTATACTATATATCAAGGACGAAGAACTGCCCAGTCCAATGCGAAATCGGAGAACCGCACGAAAAGACAGGTCTATTTCGTAATTCACACAAAACACATATCTTAAAAGCAAATTCCCAAGTGATAGACTAAACATCGATTACCGCCTTCACTTAGAAACTCACATCATGTGATTGAAGTTCACCGACCCAACAATTCACGCTACGTATCCGGAAACTCCAACCGGAAATGCACTGCAGCACCTTACCCTAAACAGCCCCGCAACCACAAACCCCGCCTCGAAAAAAACCTACCGCAAAACCTAACATGAGAGAAAAACGAATCTCGACCACCACGACGACGGGAGCGAAGCATCGAACCTGTTCGCAGTTGTTGCAGTGCCTTGACAAATCCGAGGAGCAGAGCGGCCGTGCAAGATTTCGCTGCGGCGGAGTCGCAGCCTTGCAAATGAGCAGAGGCGTATGCGCTCGTCGCACCTCTTGAAAGGGAAGTCGACCCATGTTCTCGTCCCCACTGGACGGAGGTCGGGACCTTCGTTGGACGAAACGCGAACGAACTGCACTTTTAGGGTTTTCCGGTTTGAAAGAGACCACACGTTGTCAACTCCGTCAGTCCCCCCCCCCACCGTGGTCTTCGCCCCTTGACCGTGCCCTTGGGTTTTGCTTCGGTTGGCCCAAACCGACTTCAGTGAATCATCCATACCTGCTCTTTAACCAAGTCTCATTCTTTCTATTGACTCGTCACAATATATACAATTACATTTTTTTCATAATATTATATCTGTTTTACTTATTTCAAGAGTATTTTACTTATTTTAAATTTCGTGTGTGAAAATTCCAGTAATTCCCTCTTTCATTCAAATAATACAATTCCAATTAATGTAATTTAATTATTTTTGTCCAATCAATAAACGAAGAATAAGTAGTGGATTTTATCAATAGAAATACAGAGAATTCTATCGCTGCGTCATTCATTCATCCCCTACCCACTTCGAATATTCTCTTTCCATCCACATTCATCCTTCTGAACTTTGGGTGGGTAGACATTGGGACCAGCCGTGATTATTTAGGGCACCTTCCATAATAAAAGGTGACGTGGACCACTAAAAAACTTTATCCAAAAATTTCGGGTAGCACGCCACATGACAGATCCTAGTTGGTTCGAAAAGGGGCAAACCGATAGCTGCCACGTGAGTATAGTCATTGTGGGGCCGTGCGGGTCCCACAAATGAGGACCCCCTCCTTACATATAAAAAGAAAAAAGAGCCTCGTCTTCACATTTCTTCACATTGGCTTTACCAAGTTACTTATGAATATAACTGTTTATTTAATTACAATACTATCCATGCACAAATAAAAACATACAAAATAACTTATCAATGTTGTAAATGGGATAAAATATATAATAAAATATTTTGTGTAGAAAGAACTGAAATGTCTTAGTAATTTTTATTATTCTTGTTGTCAATTATTATTATACAAAATAACTTACATAATTTTACAAAAAAAATATTTATGTATATATGTGAAGGTTATTGAATCTTAAATTAAAATACCGATTAATCCAATTACATCTTTTGTAGCATGTCAACTTAAAAATATAATTTTAGTGTAGTACTCATTTAAATATCAAAACAATAAATAGTACTTAATATTTTTTTAGAGTTAAATTATGCAAAATAGATATACGACAAATTGAAACTTCAAGCATCTTTAAGACCTTTTCAAAAATATTCACACCTTTTAAATTCATCTACAAACTGCTCAAAATCTTTTGCAAAAATTACACAATGACTCATTTTCTATTGCTCAACAACAAAACCTAAAGGACTTTTTATACATGTTACAACAATAATTAGAAAAATAGTAATTGAACAAAAATAAAAATAAATCGTGAATTATGTATGTATGTATGTATGTATGTATGTGTGGACTTGTTAAAGCCACACCCTAACTCTGTTAAAACCACACCCCTCCATCTCACTAAATGATTCAAATTGAACTAGTCCCATGTTTGTGATATTGTTTCCATCACATATCCATGTCCTTTCTTAAGCCCACCCATCTCTATTTCTTCTTAAAACTCAACAATTGATAGTGCATTCTCCAAATAATTTAATGTATTTGTAAATCACTTAAAAATGAATAACTCTCATAAATATTTATTATTATTTTTGTAAATAAGAAGCTTTAAGAGCTCAAATCTTTGTTTTTTCTTATATTTATTTCGTAATTCTACCCTCACATCTGTTACAAACTTAAGTATTTTGGCATTAAGCTTTATATAAAATACATGCGAATAGATAGGTATATAAATTTTAAAATTTTGAAACTTTACTAATGTTTTATTGTGGCATAGTAAAATTTTAGAGATTTCTTTATTATGGTTACTCAAAAATATCTAAATTTTATCATTCTATTAAAAAATCTCTTTTATACAAATAACATATGAAAATTCATACAAATTAATATTATTTTCTAAATTATAATAAATAAAAATATTAAATATATAATTTTTTTCTTTAAAAATTTCTTGAAAATATTAAGAAAACTGTCATTTAATGTAATTATTATGTAAAATAACACATCATCATTTAATTAACAAAATCTTTTATCTACAGTTTTTTTTTAAAAATTAATTAGTAATTGTAATCAGTACTTTATTTTAAATTCAGTGTAAATCATATCGTGCTTAAATTGTAAATACTTAAATTCAAGCTGTAAATAATAGGTTAAAATTTTACAAATAAATAAGTATATACTATTTATATTATCTATTTTCACATAATTCTACCTACTTAGCCAATATAGATTTCCATAGATGTAATAAATATTAAATAAAAGATAGAAATTATTTTTCAAAATAATAAATTCATAACTTACAAAAATACATATATTTATTTATATGTAAATAAAATTTAAATTTACATATTAATATCACATATCTTAAAATAATAAAAATTGATTTTTTCTATATGTAAAAGCAAAATGTATTAAAAATAATAATATTTGTACTTATTTTGTTATAAAAAATCCATCTTCTTTCATAGAGGGAGTATAATTAGTAACAAAGCCTTAAATTAAACAAACCTTGCATTTTGGTGGAGACAGGTGTGGGATTGTGACAAGGGTGGAATCAGGACAAGAGAGGTGGAGACGGGGTGGTGGGATCAAGGTGGGGATGGTGGGATCAAGGTGGGGATGGTGATTGGGAACGGGATATGAGAACGGGGAACATGAGATGTGAGATGGGAATGGGGTCAACTAATCTACTATAACATTAAGGTTTTATTTTTTAAAAATATATTATTTGTATACTTTCTTTAAGCTACTACTAGATTTATTTGTATTAGATTTATAAGCAATTTTTCTTGTTAACATAGCATTAGCTTTATTTTTGTTATTGTTGCAAACTAATTCTAAAACATTTTGCAATTATAACTAAGGAATCAATGAAATCTTAAATCTTGAAGAAACTAATAATTTTTGAAGTATATTCTATTAATATTAAAAACTTAGGTAAAATATTGGTTATAATAAACAAAATTTCATAAATTAATTTTAACATTCTTTAGAACATAAATTAAAGATTTAATTTTATAATACAATAATTTGATACTTTAGCTCAGATTATTATGGAAGCTATTACATGTGATTATTAGTCAATTGAAATGATAACAAAAGAACCAATTCAATTTGAATAGTGCATATCAAATTATTACATCAATAAAATCCAGTAATAGGAGAAACAACTTGCAAGGTTATGATAAAAATTAAATTAAAAAAGTATAATTACTTTTAGAGATGCTTTAGACAGTGTTTTAATACATAATGAATAATATTTGAAAGCAATCATGATTATTTTTTTAAGTGTCATTTTGATATGCTCTACAAACAATATACATTACAAGCACCATATATTTATGAAATTGGAAAGCAACAAAATTGAGTATTGAATCCCAAATTTTAATACATAAATATATACATAATTTTTGTATCAATATTTTATTGAAACTTTTGATGTATGAAATAAAAATAAATAAATAAATAAATAAATAAATTCAAAGAACTAAAGAAATTAAAATAGTTTTTTTATTGATGAAATTTTATAAATTAATAAACTATAATTTTTGTTAAATTTGATAATTATTACATAAATTTTTGTTACATTTGATAATTATTACATAAATTTATAAAAGATTAATTAAATGAGATAATCCTATTATTATGGTTATTATTAAATCATTGTTATCATATATATATATATATATATATATACATTTATATTTGCATATATAATTTATTATATTATTGTAATTTTATTATTTTTTAAAAAAATTTAAAAATTAATTAAAATAATAATTTCAAAAATTAAGATGTTCAAAGATCAATTCTAAAATACTTACTTACATTTTTTGTATTTGCTAAAAGAATCTTTAAATTTATATGTTTAAAAATTTTCATTTTTTTTTATGAATTTCATAAATTTAATAATTATTTTAAATATATATATAGTAATAAAATAAACATCATTGATTAAAAATATTAAACAAAAAATATAAGTATTGAACTATTAAAGAATGGATTTATTGAAACTAATTATAATTCTAATCTTGATGGTTTGTACAATTATTTTCCGTTTTTAACAAGTAATATCTAATAAATAATAGTATATTTTATTCTTAGAGTCATGTTTTAATATATATATATATATATATATATATATATATCACAGCTAATCTTAATTTAAACTTTGTTGATAAAATAAACCTTGAAGTAAATAATTCCTTATATTAGAATCTATATGTTATATATTCAAAACATTCAACATTTTAAAATATCTATAAATAATTTAAAAAATTAAGTTATCATTTAATATAATTAATGCATTATTTTTTAAAATATTTTGTATATTATTTTTGCAAATCATAATCAAGAAATTATATTTTAAGAAAAAACATATTAATTTGATTTAAATTATTATTATTTCACTTATATATATATATATATATATATATATATATTTAAAGAAATGATAAAGAAATCCAATTTTTTAATAAATTAACCCACATGTTCAAACCATCATTATACCCTTTCAAACTTGTCCCTGTTCTCAACCGTTTCCTTATTTCCAACCATTATCCCTATTCCTAATATTCCCAATCTCCCGCCCTTGTCTTTAGCAATGGTTTGGAACAAAAAACGGAAGGAAATAGGAGTGGGGGTTGTAAGAATGCAATGATGGTTAAGATAGAGTGGGTTGTTTTAGTAAATTTTTTGGTTGCTTTATCATTTTGTTATATACATATATATATATATATATATATAGAATGAGGGATAGAAAATAAGGGATCAGAGACATAGAACAAGAAACAAATATAGAGATGGATGGAATTGATCATGAGATGGAAAAATGGGATGTGGCTTTAACAACTCCCTATATATATATATATATATATATGTATATATATAAGGTCCAATACACATGTAAAGATATTAGTTTTTTTTTTAAGTCAAGGACTTTAATAATTGTTTTAAAAGCTTCAAAAACATATCAAATAATATTCATAGAATTTAAGAAATTATAATTTATTTTTCTTTATTATTATTATTTGAATAATTTAGGAAAATATTGAAATATTCATTTTTATATAGTAATACTTAAAATAAAGTGAAACCTTGTGAATATAAGTATAACTATGCTACAATTAAAATTGGCTTAAAAATTGAGGTCGTTAATTTTTTAAAAAATATTTTTTATATTTATATCCATTTATAATATTAAATTTTGCAATTAAAAATCATTTTTATAAATATAGAAATATAAGCAATAATATATGAACAATAAACAATATTTTTTCAAATCAACCAATAACTTGACTACTCAATTGAAATTATTGTCTATCAATTGAGTAGATATCAAAAGATGAAAAAATCATTAAAATTATCTATTAAATTTCTATATTTATAAAAATTAAATAAAATGTTTTTTATGGTTGTAATTTTATTTTATTTTACTATAACAGGATGTAATAGCTTAAATATACAATAAATCACAATATTACATACATATTAAAACTTTATAAAATCTTAAAGAATTCCTAAAATTTTCTTAAATGGTTTTATCACATTTTGTTAACATATAAAAGTCTCTAAAGTCTTTTAAAATCTTTTGCATATATTTAAAAGACATCTCAATAATTTTCCATTCAACTACAATCTTCTAGAATATTGTTGAATATTTTATGTATTTTTTTGCAGACTGATAAGATAGTTTATTTTTCCTTAGAACTACTTTTAGAAACTTATACAATATCTACTTTATAGAGTATATGCATAAGATTAAAGCAATACATGCCTTAATTTTTTTAATACAAGTTTAAATGTGATCCAAGTGCTGTTAAGTTTTATTTTTACACATGGTTTTGTTTTTAATATATTACCTTGGTTATCTTGAACATCTAGATTTATTTTTTTATTTTTTGTTTTTTGTTTTTTTACATATTCAATATATTACTAAAAATAATTATATTTAAATTAAAATAGAAACACATAAATATGAAATTTTTTACATTTCAAAAATGATGAGTGTTAATACTACAGTAAGGAGTTGAAAAACATATATTTCTTACTTAAATACAAAGTATAAAATAATTTTATAACTTGGAAATTTAAAATATTATAAAAAGTATCAATATAATTTTTTAAAAACGTATTGAATTAAATTATTCTACAATAAAAATATAAAAAAATTCTTATTATTATATAACACATAACTATATTAAATAATTCAAGATATAATAATACACAAATATTTTGTAAAAAAATTCAAAATTATATAAAATATTTGCCTTTAGAAATTATTTTTTTAGAAAAAGCAAAATTTTCATCTCATAATAATCAATAAACCTAGGCTTTTACTAAATTTATTCATCCATCCTTATTATCATGAAAAAAAATGAATGACTTCTAGATTCATTTCTACACTACAGGATCCAGAACCAAATGAAAACCAACTACATTTATCATGATTTTATTTTAGTGAAAAAATATTGCTTAAAGGCAGAAAAACTTACCTCAAATATTTCCAATGCACTAAATCCCACTTAAAAACAAAGACAAGACACTTTACTTTGTAAAAAATGTCCTTCCAAAATTGATGTCCACAGACATGTGTGCATGGCAAAACCTGGGCTTTAGAGGATGAAAAGCCATGGCACCTCATTACCCTACTAAACCCTAAATTTCTAATTTGTAAGCCCTCGTTTCTAATTCTAAATCCTTACTCACACATTCCAAACCCCAAGCCCTTTTCAGATATATAATGTCTAAACCCTAAACCCTAAACCCTATTAAGTGAGAATCTTCCACAAACATGCAAGAAAAGTTCATGAGATGTGGAACGATGGAACACCACCAAACGTACTGCAACGCGTTCTCTTCTGGGAACCACGCTCGCCTCACCTTGTCCCTCTCTCCTGCCAGGACTGTTCCTGGAAGAAACAACGCTCTAGCAATGGACGGACGGACAAACGAACGAGGGAATTAACGAACTAATTCGTTCGTAAGGCGACGGAAAGAACGAATCAGAAAATGGATGTATATATGGATGAATAACAGGACGGGGCGTCCCGAAACACTAACCGACGGGCCGGGTGGCCCATGAAAGCTCAGTTCGGAGAGTTGGCGGGGGCGAAGTGAATAAAATCCCAATCCACAGGGGCAGCGTTCACACGGAGCGAGGCGGTGATCGAAGAGCGGCTTGCAAGGGGATTTCACTCGCACCCTCTCGGACACAGAAATTGCATAAAGAGCGAAGGGCTTCTACAGCGCATGCTGTTGCTGTTGTCGTTGGTCGTAAAGCTCCCTCCCAACTCGGCTGGTAAAGTAAACCGGAGTTAGTTTCCCCGGAGGTTACGACGTCCCACTTGGTTTCGCATGCTTGATGTTCATGGTGCTGAGCTTTGTTACGTCGCCCCTGAGTGCCGACTTATCCGTGCAGCTTGCTAATTTCCACCAATTTCTCCGGAATTCGGTTCAATCACGCGGTTGTGCTTTCTGTAGGCTTGATATTCGTCGTGGTTCTGTTTGTTGTTGTTAAGTTATCGCTATTTGATTGTACTGTGCGTTGTAGTAATGCTGGTTTGTATCAAGTGGGGACCAGCAGTGGCTTTCGTTCTCCTTTATTGTTTTTAATTTCCATGATTTTGTAAAAGAGTAATGTGAGTGTAGACGACTGTGATGGGCAGCGTTTAGTTTTCGAGTGCGGGGTATTGTGCTAGCGACAGAATTGAGAGTAGTGTGATTCGTTGGTTTCTTTCTCTAGTAGAGCCTTGAATGTTTTGTTCGAGCAGTTTCTTATGCTTTGCTTGAGCTTCTGTTGAAAACGATTCAATGAGTCGGTTGGTTGATTGATTTAGATGAAAGAGGAGAAGGAGATTATTTGCAAGGTTTTAATGAGGAGGTTGGTCTTCAACTCATTGTTTCGTGATGGACTTTTAGATGTTTCACGGGAGATTAGTGAGTTCTGTGCTGGTCGCAGAGAGTATTAGTTGGCTTTATTGATAGTTTCAATATTCTGTGTAACCTCCATTGTGGATTGTGAATTCAGGCATTTATAATTGCATGCATCAAACATTCTATTACCGTGGTAATCAAACACCGATCCTTAGTTGTCATTTATGCAAGTGCGGAATTTTATAAGCCCGGTGCTTATCGTGTGTCGCTCACCTTGCTCTCACGCTGAGCTAGTCAATCATTAGAATCAACGTTGTAGCGAAATTATCCATCTTCGGTCTATTACGTCGAACGATGGGCTTGGAGGTGCAAAACACTCTGAGAAGTTTTGGAGCTCTGGTGAGAACTACAGTGACAAATGCTTTGATCAATGTTTTAAGTTTGGTCGTCTTCGGTTTTTTCGACCTTGCGGACCAGGTGTTGTGTCCTGTGTTCTCTTATCTGGATTGGTTATTGGATCAGCGTGATGATTCTTGTTATTGCCACAAAGACTTCCCGACCCCTGAATTGGACAACAAGAAATTAGCAGCGCTCCCACCCTCGAGGGCAGGTTCTGCCACCGATTGCGAATTTTGGGAAGGACATTCGAATACTCTGTATGGTAGGAGGCACAAACACGGAAACAATCATGTGCATTTTCTCACCCTTCATCGCAGCCTCAGTGCTGAGGCTGTAGAACCGTTGAATCTCTTGGATAAAAGGGTGGCAGGCCTAATTTGTGGTAAAGGTTCGCGGGAAAAGAGCTCAGATTCTGAGTTGCTGCCCAAGAAGGAGTCAGTTTTGAATGTGGCGACGAATGATTCAGTGGCTCCAGAAATATGTATACTTAAAGAGAGTAATCGTCAGGCTGGATCCCAACATGGATCTCTTGGTAGCTCTTCACCCAGGACCCGGTGGTCTGACTGTGGTTGTGCCACATGCACTGCATGGCAAGCAAATAAAGACTTCCTGTATGTGCGAGTGGGCGGCAAAGGTTAGCTTCTCATTCTTCACTGAAATTGATAGCCTAGCGTTGGCTGTCTTAACCCTCAGGATTCTACATCGATTGCCTTTCGCAATTTCATTATGTTAGAACGAGCTTGTATGTTTCGGATGGATGTAATTGTAATAGTTTTTCGGCCTCAAGTAATAGTTCAAGAATACATTATTTCATTTGAAGATTTGCATATGAAGCATTACTGCAATGCTGTCAAATGTGCTTACTATTCTAGCATAGGCCGAGTTACAGTACTCAGCTTCTGCACTGTCTTGCAGATTGCACAATAGATGCAGCATCAAATGGCGAAGGCGAGGAGGATTCCACTAACGATGTAATCTTTATTCATGGTTTCTTGTCGTCTTCGTCGTTCTGGACAGAAACGGTGTTCCCTCTGTTTTCGGAAAACCTAAAATCCACGCACCGTTTGTTTGCTGTTGACGTCCTGGGTTTTGGCAAGAGCCCGAAGCCTACGAACTGCCATTATTCCAATGCTGATCATTTAGAAATGATTCGAAAGTAATACCCTTATCAAACTTCGTGCTATAAAGTAGAAGTACCATGAATGTAATTGCATTACACTATTTTCTGCGTCTCGTATATTGACAATTGCTAGTTCTAGTCTGTATTATCTTTTGTTACTGGCGTGTGTTACGAGGATCCAAATCGATCATGTTTTTGTTTGGATTGACTGGATGGGTGCAGATCCGTAATTGACCGTTACAAGCTCAAGAAATATCACCTTGTTGCACATTCTATGGGCTGCACCCTCGCGTTGTCTCTAGCAGGCCAGGATCCCTCGGCTGTTAGGTCAATCACACTTGTCTCACCGGTATGATCTGGTTTCTTTGTCTTTTTCAATTGCCCTAACACTGGTTCACAGCCACTGAGCGTGAAGAAGTTTTGACTAGTGAAATATTGCAATGATATTTTGTAAATTTGTTATTAGAGGGGTCTGCCTGATTGCCATGCGTGTCGTTGAACAGAGGGTTGTTTTTTTTCTGTGTTTCAGCCCTATTATCCAGCTACATCCGACAGCCAACCATCAGTACACTTACTGAAAAGCGTAGCGCCGCGGAAGATATGGCCATTATTTGCATTAGGTCCCTCAGTTATGTCGTGGTATGAGCACTTGGGCCGAGTTGTTTGTCTTGTCGTTTGCAAAAATCATGCGTTCTGGGAACTCGCCTCGGCTTTCGCCTTCAACAAGATTTTAAGATGGAGGTGATCTACCCCACTTTTTCACCAGTCCCCTATTCCTTCTCTTAACTCTCTGCTTTTGCAGCAGATTAACCATTCTTTAATTGTTTGAAATGGGGAATATCCTCTTGATAAGGTGGAACCTGCACACATGAGGTAAATTTGCCAATGTCATGCCAGCATACATCATAGTGGTGAGGAAAATTAGGTTCTCACTCTCTTTCTCTCAGAATGTCTGCTTCAGAAGGTGACCAGTGGTGTATGGCTTTGGTTGAAACAGAGTTCCCCAATTCCTCATCCATGACTTTATGCAACATACACATAACTCAGCTTGGCATATCTTTCACAACACTCTATGCTCTGGTGCCTACACCACCAAGTGGAGCATGGATGTTCTACAGAAGACAAGGAAACCAATCAGGATAATCCATGGTGACAATGACAACATCTGCCCTCTTCAGTGCAGTCTGGACATGAAGAACTCATACTCAAATGTATATCTGTCTGTCATTCAGGGAGCTAACCATGTCAATATCTTATTGGGTAGGGAGGAAACCTTGGCACAGGAGCTTGAGGAAGAGATACTGAAAGTATAATTAAACATATTGAAGATTATGATTTAATTGTGAGGGTTCAAGAGGTTGCTATTTGCCATCAGTTCCTCTGTCTCTGAGCATGATGTATTTTTTTTGCCAATGCCCCCCACTGTCATAAATGTGAGTGAATTTATACTTTTTTCCATGTATATCAATGATTGGTATAATGTGGTAATCTAAAATAAGTAAAACCAGTCTGTTAGATGCATATTTTTTGTTATATTTTTTATTCCAAGATATTGGCAATGGGCTTTGTTCAGAGTTCAAAGTTCTGTTTATATTAGTAAGACCATCCACTAAAAACACATAAATGTTAAAAAACAAGGCCTAGTTTTGTTAATCTACTGAATACACATCAACACTAAACTTGTCCACATCACTGAATTTACTGTATGAAATGTTACATGGTGTATTTACCTACACATAGGCAAATTAATGATCTGAAGTTTATAATCTCATACAACAAATAAATGATCTTAGAAGATTATATACAATTTTGCCATTCAAATGCAAATTATACTTAAAATTCCTCCAAACCTGAGTTACATCTTTGCCTGAGTTACAATCTTATAAAAATGAAGGTTCAGTGAGATTCACATTAATCAAATATTAAAAATTAACTACAGATGCACAAATAATGTGAATCATCATTCTTAATATACAGGAATACAATAACTAACTAACTAACTAAATAAATAAATAAATAAAGTGATGTTTTAGTATACTATTAATTTCAGTAGAAAATAAAAGTTTCAAGAAAACAACCATCTCGATGCATTTCATTATCAATCCACAACTTGAATAAATATCTTGTAAACAATGAATTGTGTGATTCCATAACATTTCAAAAGACAATGGTGACTAAGGCAGATATGTAAAAGTAAGATAAGATGTGTCAAGGAAATGGTTAAATGGGTGAGCTGACCTCAAGTGCACTTTAATGTCATGGAATCCTTGGACTCAGAAATATCAGGAACCTTGAATTAGCAACCATAAACAATCTTGTTAAATGGTTAGAATTGTGGACCATACACATCATGAACAATTTCTACAGCTCTAACAGATTGGACATATTTACACAAAGACAAACAATCTGAATGTTTCAATTCTTAACAGTGAGTGTGGCCTATTATAATGACAGGATGGGGACAGAGCAACCACCAAAGGAGGTATGCAATTGGCGAGCAGAAGTGAATGTGAACAATAAAAGTGTGGAATATATTATGTATTGTGTTACAAGCTTTACAAGCAAAAGCACATATACCTTCACAAAGCCACAAATTTTAAAAATTGGAGGGGTCTTTACACTTAGAAGCTTGCTCAGAACCATAGTTGAAGGTTTTAAAATAGTCTCCGTTTTGGTGAAGAAAGGTTGGTTTTTTGGAAGTTTCAACCTTTGGAGATAGTATGAAGTAGGAGGAGGTCAAGACATGAACTAAATTATTTTTATCTTATTTATTATAATTCTAAGTGCAACGTCTTATATTTTGCTTGTTGCAATTATGGCAAGCATGAAATTTTATATTTTTAGTTTTAATATATTATTAGTGATCTCCAAAAACTGTTTCTTTTCCTTTTTATTTATTTATTTATTTATTTATTTTAAACTACTTCTTGAAGGTGAGTCTAATGCAACTTTAGGAGAACAACCCAATTTATACTACATAGGAAAAAAAATATTTCGCCTCAGCTTTTTCTTTCACAATAGCTTGAATGATTTTTCTAAATATGAAGCCCACTAAAATAAAATAAAATAAAATAAAATTTCTTAATTTTAACCAATCATAAGTTGCGAAAGTTGTGGCCTCTTGTCCTCTCCTATGTACCTATAGATCCCTAAGAGTTCAAATTCATATGCTAATTTGATTATATTCACATTTGATGTGACATGTCTATTTTAAGTACATTTTGAAGTTCATGAATTTTGGAGAAATAGAGATGTGAAGTTGATGTCAAACATAATATGAATATTTCACAATATTAATTTAAAGATAACTTTGTGAATATGATGTCAACATCAATAATAGAACAACAAGCTTATTAAAATGCCAATGTACAAAAAATAGTAGAAGTATATGTTCAATAAAGAAATTTCTTTAAGATTGAATTAAGAATGAATTCAAGAAGTATATTGATAAGTTAAACTATTTTGATGTTTAATTTAAAATAAGAATATTATTAGAGTGATTTACAAAATTCGAATGCTTGAAGTTAAAATTAAATTTTTATATCAATATTTGGAATTACAAAAGTTTTTAATTTTTATTTATGTTAAAATATATTTATCCATTGAATCCATACAGTTTAAATCAAGAAATCAAGACTTAATTCCCAAGCCATGTTTCTTTGATTATAGAACATATATTATTTGGTCTTGAGTCAATAAAAAAAAGACCTTGCTATATTCTAATTGCATTGGATGATTTACACAAATATTCAAACTTTACTAAATTATAGTGATCAAATGTTAGAAGCCATCAATGGCTTGTGTTTAAGGAGAAATTGTCACAAAGATAGAAGTTGGATTTTTAAGCTTAGAGTGTCAAAAATATTGGTTAGATGGTCATTACATATATTAAATTTACTAAAAATATTTGAATATTTTATATTCTATTATTTTAATAGAATAAGATATAAACTCAAAGACCAATCAAAGTAAATATAAGAATTGTGATACATAACTCAATCCTAAGAAAATTTTAAAAATAATTCAGTAAACTTTCTTATCAAATATAAAAGTTTTTGAGTTTTGTACTTGTAAAGATAGCATTACAAACAAAAAATATTATATTTTTCTTTTCTTAAGCTATATAATAAATCAAATAAATATGATTTTTAAAATTATTATTCTAGTTAGGAATAACTAGTTAATTGAAAAATATGTATTTTTTTTGTCAAACATATTGTTTAAAAAATTAATCCAACCATTCAAAAGATAAATATATTTTTAACATAATTGAGATATGTTTTAACATTCAATGGATATATTTTAAAATATACTGCAATATTTAACGGATATATTTTAAAATATATTTTAACACACTATAGAAATAAGAATCGTTCAAAAAATTGACAAAAATAGTCAATAAATACAAAATAGTCATTAAAGTGACTAAAAATATTTAAATAAATTATTGATAAAAAATTAAATTTAAAATTTCTTGGCTTTTTTTAATTAACATAGTTGAAAAAATAAGAATTATTTTATATATACTAAAATATTATAGAAAAAATAAAAATATGATTTTTTATATGATATTTAGAATTAATTAGCTATTTTAAAATTTTAAATTAATCAATAAAAAAATTATCTTATTATGGTTATTATTATTTAATTTATTAGGATTTTTAAACTAAAATTTTAAAAAATTATGTTTTTGAAATTATAAAATAAAAATTATTTTTTTAAAATCGAAATTAAAAATAAAATAAGAAATAAAAATACTTTATTTATTTATCTAGTATAAAACTAGCTAAGATTTATATAATTCATTGATCAAAGTTTTTTACAATTGAGTAAAAAGGATCAAGGTCTCAATATTCTATTATATAAATCTTTTGAAGTAAAATGACTAAGCCATCTTATTTTGAGAAATTTCCAAAGATTCCTAAATTCAATTATATTTTTAAAAATCAAAGTTTTTTTTTTTTTTTTTTTTTTTTTTTTTTTTTAAATTAGAATTTTTGTAATGAGAGTAATTTCATTGTATTTGGATTGTAAATTTTTTTTGCAATGTATCAATTTTTTTTCATGTATAATGCCTAAGCATTTAGGGTAATAAATTCATTGGAAAAATTTGGAATGCATCCTTTTTATATCTCAAAATAAAAAAAAAATATACTTATGATTTTTATGGTATTTAAAAAGGCAGAAGTAAGTTCACCAAAAATTGTATTAATACAGTAACTGCTAATTATTATCTAGGTTTATATATAGTCCAATGTTGCAATATTTGAATTATCAAAAACAATGGAAAGTATTGATTCATTAGAATAATAAATAAAAGAAATCAACAAATGTTTGGTTGAGTAATTCAAGGTAGACATTGGTGAACAAATTCCAAAATTGAGGTAAATGTAACCTATAAATTTTGATAAATTGGTGCATCTTTAGCTTTAAAAGTTATATTAGAATAATACAAGGTAAGTTGTGTCCAAGTATATTTCATTTTGTCTGCAGTCAAAGGATTGATAAATTCAAACACTAAATTCATCTAATGCATCAATTCTTTATGATGTGAATAATGTATACATATTTTAGACAATGAAGTTGTTTGGTGATAGCAAGACAAGCTCATGTAATTCCAAGAGCCCTTTTATATTTTCCATTTGAGAATATATTGCAATCAAAAGCTTTAATTGCTTATATTATTGTATTAACAATTCGTTCAACATCTAAAAAGAATTAAGAACTATACTATCTTTTTTGTAGATTATTTCAATTGCAAATAAAAAAAAATCCTCTACATCAATGATGATACATAAGGACACTTCTTTACTTCTACATATTCTTGCATTATTACTCAATAAACCTTAAACTATTTGGCAACTACATCCATGGATAATCAATTAGTATTGACCACCTTTAGAAATAAAATTATCATTTACAAGATGAAAATTTGCTACCATTATTTATCCAATCAAAGCAATTTAGGTGCCTAAAAAATACTTGTCTATAGTACTTATAAAAATGTATTGTATGACTAGATCTAGTTGATGCAAATTGTATTAAATTCAAATAATTCTAAGCAAAGTATTATGTACGATTTGGATAGCAACACCATTAATCCAAATAATTATGTTGCTATCATTATTACTTTATACACTAATAATTTCTTTTTTTTTACGTGATGAAAAGTGCATCCATAAATATACCCTTAATACCAAATATAATTTTTTAAATATCTTTATTAAATAAAGAAATTACAAATAGATGAAAGTATTACATGGCTTTACTATAATTGAAAAAATAATAAACATTTAGACAAGACATACCTTGATGTGCTCACTTTTCCAACACAATTGAGAATTTCAATCCTTTAAATAGTATCTGATAAAATTTGCAAAAAAACTAAATAAAATGATTTGGATATAATTTGAGACAATTGTGTCATTGAAACCTCATAAATAACCAAGGCTAGAATG